CCTGAAGCCCATAAATATGATCTGTGTCTTTCTACTCAGGAAAAGGAAATGGAACAGAGATGACAAATTTGCCCTACACGCACCTAGTTACCCTATCCCTTTTCTTTCTAGGTTTCCTCCCAAAATTGTCTACAAAATAATCTCAACTCCTTCATCAACCTTTTACTCTAAATTCATTGTAATCTAGCCCAACCCATTTCTTCCTTGGGGAACTTGATTCCTATTACCTCTCATCTTTGATGGTCATCACCAGAGATTTTGATTATTGGACTGTCACATTGCTTTGTGAAAAAATTTTAAAGTTTAAAGTTTGTCTATTAATAGTATCAAAGTTATACTTCAATTACTGGAATTACTAGTAACGATGCAATCAAATGCTATAATCTTATATATAATGTTTAGAAATCCATCATATTTTTCTCCCTATTTTCTAATATTTTTATCTAGAATTGAATTATAAATAATAACATTAGAATTCTAACTTTTAAAAAATATATTGATTACAGAGAGGAAGGGAGAGATAGAAACATCAATGATGGAAGAGAATCACCAATGGGCTGCCTCCTGCCTGCCCCACACTGGGGATTGAGCCCATAACCCTGGCATATGACCTGACTGGGAATTGAACTGTGACCTCCTAGTTCATAGGTTGACTCTCAACCACTGAGCCATGCCAGCTGTGCTAGAACTCTAAATTTTAATAGTAGGATTTAAAATTTGATGTCACCAATTTAACACTTTCATTATCTTCAATGTGTAATTTCAAAGAAGATTCAAATGTAGTTTATTATTTTTTTGTAGTTAAAAAAATTAAAGGAGATATTTTCTTACTTTAATAATTCTGTTAATTCAAAGTAAACCAACCTTCTGTTGACAGGTAGAGCGGGCACTCACCCATCCAAGGAAATAACAGATGTGTCATCTCTCTTCAAAAAAAGGATACAGTTGACCCTTAAACAAGATAGGTTTGAACTGCATGGGCCCACTTACACATCAATTTTTGTTTGCTTGAATGTTTTTCTTTTTTGGTAAATACAATCAGCCCTCATATCCTTGGGTTTCACATCTTTAGATTCAGCCAACCCAGGATGGAAAACAGGATTTTTGGATTCCCAACTGCCAACTCACCTCCATAAATTCCTTGCCACAGAGAGGAAATACTGTTTTGGGACCATGGTTGGTTGAATCATGGCTGTGAAGGGCATATTGTAGAGTCAAAGTTACATATGGATTTTCCACTGCACTGGGACTGGTGCTCCCAAACCCTGTGTTGTTCAAGAGTCTACTGTACATGTTTTCTAGATGAATAATGTTGGGTAAATGATTTAATTTCTTGAGCTTCAGTTTGCTCCATTTGAAGAAGAATATAATAATATGTTTCTCAAGTAGTTGTTATAAAAATCGAATTTAACTATGGACTGATTGTACAATGCTATGCAAATGTGATGTGTATCTACTTCTTATTTATGACCTATGTTATCTGGCAGAAGGTCCTGTTCCCATAAAATGCCCATCTACTGCCAGCTGCTTTTGTTCTAGTGTTGTTAAGACTTCCTGAATGTTTATTTCTGGAGCCAGACTTAGACCAGAAGTTGAGTCCCAACTTGCCCTTTACTAACAGTATATTCATGGACCAATCTCCCCATGATTTCAATTATTCATCTATAAAAAAAGAAAGATATGCTGTTGGTTTGATGTTTAAATTGAAATAATGTAGAGTGCCTATAGTACCTACTTATGATGATCATAATTTAAGTATTGCATTGCTAACTGCTGTGTTAAAAGATGGCAAATACTCTTTGTGAGCTTCAACTGGGCACCATCCCTGAATAGTAACCTAGGCAGGAGATGGAAAAATACCAGCAGTGAGGCAGTATGTAGTGCAAAACGTGGGAGAAAACCAAAACCAATTGCGACCTACCTGAATACCAACACCCACTGTAGCCTTCCTCTCATTTTTATGCCAGCAAAATGATTTCAACTATGGTTAATCTTTAGCAGAAAGAGTCTCAGCAAGAAACCCCTAAATAGAAAGAGAAGCTGAAGAATTTAATGTTTATATATATAATGTGTATGTATATATACATATATATGTGTATAAATATACTATATAATAAAAGAGTAATATGCAAATTGACCATACCTCTGCTAAACCTGCAAGCCATGCCCACCAGCCACATCCATCAGCCAATCAGGAGCTAATATACAAATAAACCCAATCAAGTTGGCTATGGTCATGGAGAGCAAGAGGGAGACTTGGGTTTCCCCTGCAATGGAGGAAGCCAAGCTTTCTGTCTGCCCTTGCTGGCCTTGGCTGGGAGTCTATCCATTGGAGCTAGCTGGGGGGGTCCCTTTCCAAAGCCAAGCCTCAGTCAGAGGCTTGCGGCCTTGGCCAGGGGCAGAGCTGGGTGATCAGAGCCAGTTGGGGTCCCTTGCAGATTGTCAGAGCGAGCTGGGGGTCCCTGCCCAGGGCCTGAGCCTTGGCCAGAGGTTTCCGGACTTGGCTGGGATCAGAGCCGGGGGATCAAGCCAGCTTGAGGTCCCTGCCAGGGCCAAGCTGAGCAATTGGAGCCAGCGGGGGTTCCCCTGCCCAGGGCTAGAGGCTTTAGGCCTTGGCAGGGGCAGAGCCGAAAATCGGACAAGATAGGTGTAAACTATAGAGGAAACACCTTTTCTGACCACTCATTGGCTAAGCTCCCTGTAAGCCACTGGTAATATTCTTAATTACTTGGGTATAAGAATCCAAAAAGGTGATCTAGGGTTTTCCACCACACTCCTGGAGAAAAAAACGAAGATCCACTGCTGGAGGGCTAGAAAATGTCATAACCTTCCCTAGGCAGTTTGGCTCAGTGGATAATGCCCAGGTTTACCAAGGGCAAGATCTGGGTTAGATTCTGATCAAGGGCATGTACCTTAGTTGCAGGCTCCTCCCTAGCTGGTGCCCAGGTCAGGACTCATGCGGAGGCAACCAATCAATCAAGTGTACATCTCACTTTGATGTTTCTCTCTATCTTTCCCTTTCTCTTCCACATTTTCTAAAAATCAATGGAAACATATCCTCATATGTTTTCCACATTCTCTAAAAATCAATGGAAACATATCCTCATTTTCCTTCTCCTTATTCTCAGGAGAAGAGAGAGAGAGAGAGAGAGAGAGAGAGAGAGAGAGAGAGAGAGAGAGAGAGAGAGAGAGAGAGAGAGAGAGAAGGAAGGAAGGAAGGAAGGAAGGAAGGAAGGAAGGAAGGAAGGAAGGAAGGAAGGAAGGAAGGAAGGAAGGAAGGAAGGAAGGAAAGAAAAGTCATATCCTATGAAAGACATATCTTGAAAATGCCTAAAGAAAGTTGTCATTTTTTTTGTGGTGAAGGGACCAGAGTCTGTGTTGATGAAAACACCTTGGTGGATGCAGTGACTGGCAATGGCTACAGCAGTGGGGTTTTGGGGCTGATGCCTTTACCTGATCAGCCTGGTTGTCTTCCACAAAGGAAGGCTAGACTTCAGTAGGACATCCCCTGAGGGCTCCCAGTATGTGAGAGGGGGCAGGCTGGGCTGAAGGGACCCCCACCGACCCAGTGCATGAATTTCATGCACCAGGACCATAGTGTGTGTGTGTGTGTGTGTGTGTGTGTTTGTGTATGTGTATGTGTATGTGTGTGTGTGTGTGTATAGTCCCAACAATGTGTGTGTGTTTATATATATATAAAGCAGTGTTTATTAAAATGCATTTCCTTTTCAAAATTGAGTTATTAGCTGTTAAAGTGTGTATGCATTTTTTGGGAACACTATATACACTGAGTGGCCAGATTATTATGATCTCTAAAACGCATAATAATTTGGCCACTCAGTATACTTCTCTTGAGTACCTCATTTATTTGCTATCAAAGACATTATAAATCATGCACCTGATCAGTTTCCCCCTTTGCACTGGCTGTTAGAAAGCCCAGGGCAAATAGGTGGTTGATCTCCAGCAAAAGTATAAAATACTTTTGGTACCCATTTGAGATACAAATACACTGAGTGGCCATATTATTATGCATTCAGAGATCATAATAATCTGGCCACTCAGTGTATCTTTGTGTTTGTGTGTGTGTGTATAAAATTTGGTATTAATACATTTACTCACAGAGTGGAAAAATATATTTTATTTGGCACTTAGCAGAAGGCCAGTTGGAAGGACCATCATAAACTACCTGGTAGTACTATATAATTCTGAATGTTCTCCCATGGTAAATAACCTAATTAGGACAACAAAACTCCTATTTGGTGGATTTCTTTGCCAAGAACTGTGCTGGGCATTTTATGGACATCCTCACTAGGCTGTACAATTCGGTTCAATAAGAACCATTATTTCATCTCACAGATGAGGAACTGAGGCCCAGAGAGATTAAGTAAGGTATCAGTGAATAAAGATCTTAGAAATATTGGTGGTTGGATTCAAAATAGTGTCTAACCATCTACAAAGCCCATGTTCTTTCTACTATAGCTTGATGCCTCCACAGGAATTTCTCGTGTCTCCCATTGTTAGTTCTTTTACACCAACTCCTGTCAGTGGCTACTCTTCCTTTGCTCTTTTATTTTGTTTATGCACCTCCTTAAGAAAAAGCACATGACAGAATCCTCTTTGATATATATGGATGGATAGATATAGATAGATGACGTGATAGATAGATACATAGATAGATAATGTACACACACAATCATACTTTTTAAAAATATATTTTATTGATTTTCCACAGAGAGGAAAGGAGAGGGATAGAGAGCTAGAAACATCGGTGAAAGAGAAACATCTACCAGCTGCCTCCTGCACACTCTCGGGAATGTGCCTGCAGCCAATGTACATGCCCTTGACAGGAATCAAACCTGGGACCTTTCAGTCCGCAGTCCGACGCTCTATCCACTGAGCCAAACTGGTTTCGGCAAACGTTTTAACTCTTAAATTCATCCTGTGGATCTTGTTATTCTGCTTATGCACGTTGCTTATGCTCAGCATGTATTCTGGCTCAGGTGTGCAAAGCAGCTGGTTCACAATAATCTCCCAACCACCAGTGTCATCATGTGCTTTGTGGATGAGGTGTGGTCCACTCTCCTGAGGTCTGTTCACAGTGTCCTCAATCGCTCTCCTCCACATCTCATCAAGGAGATTCTGCTGGTCGATGATTGTAGCTCCAAAGGTAAGAAAACTAATCCTGAAAAAATCAAAGTTTGATATAAAACAATTGCAGTTTGGATGTATGGCAAAATTACTGGGTAATCCGATAAAGCATATACATTGTACAAATGCCAAATCATTGTTCCTAACAACTATCTGGAGCCCTGTCCAGTTAGCTTGCCCAAACTTCCTTTCCACTGTAACTTCTCTGCCACAGAGGAGTGACTTTCTAACTTTAGCCTCTTGGAGATGGGTACTATGAAATCTGAAGATGTTCTCTCAATTGCACAAACACTTTTTTATGGTATCTAATAAGCAAATACCTCACAATTAATGGGGTGCCTTTTATATAAATAGAGTTTGAGTTAGACTCTGTGGGAAACAAGGGAATGGAAGGCCTATGGCTTCTTCCTCAAGAGCAAAACATATTATATTTTCAGTTAAGTGTTAAGATGAATTGCCAATGGGACCATAGAGATAAGGCTTTAACGAAGTTCAGAAGCAGAATCCACCACTGTAAGGCTTTACGTTTGTTTTGTTTATTACAGAAAAGACTCTCTTTCTTTGGATTGTCAAATAATTTGTGTGTAAGTGGTCCAATGACTACCAGAGGTCCCATGACTGCCATGTTATAAATTCCCAAAAGGCAGCCAACTTCCAAAAAGCTTTGAAAATAGCAAAGAGATGGCAAACCTTAATAGAGCAGATTAGCCTTGTTTGTGACCACAATGACAGCCAATTTTCTCAGCCTCAGAGTTTCCCACCGGAATCACATGGAGCTCCTGAAGCTAGGCGATGCTTAAGAAAAACTGGTTGAAAACTTTAAGAAAGTGTACACAGAAAGAATATGTAGTTACTAAACAGATAACAGACTTTAGGAATGGCGTGTCCAGATTTTGTGGGACCTGAAGCTTCTATGGAGTCTTTTTAAGAAAAACAATACAAAGTGAGTAGGAAAGTGAGCAGCAGAAGTATTCCTAAAGCCAGTCCTTTTTGAGAATGTTAATTGCACATAGAATTGATCACAAGGCACACACACACACACACACACACACACACACACACAAACTCCTTAACTGCCATCCAACAAGTCATGGTAGGTGTGATGGAGGGTGATGTCACAGCAGGAAGTGACAGTGTTCTTAAACAATTACAGTTGCAATGTCTTTCTTTTGCAAATTTTTTAGTTTGCATATAATGCTTAGCCTTTTCCCTGGGCCTTAGAAGGAGATTTTGTTAAGAGGGTCTGGGGAGGAGAGTGGATGGTACAACTTTAATTTATTTCTAGGTAAATTTGCCCCTGTACTTACTAATACTCAGAATACTAATACCCTTCTGTGTGTAATTTGGCAACACAGAGAAGAAGGACTTGAGATTTAAGAAAACAGATGGAAAAAAAAGAGAGTTGAGTATTGAATTCAGATAAAAATTCATCCCAAAAAATGACATCAGAAAAAAATAATTGCCAATGAAATAAAATTTCATTTGCAACAGCATGGATGGACCTACAGGGTATTATGCTAAGTAGAATAAATCAGAAGGAGAAAGACAGTCACCATATGATTTTACTTTTATATGTGAATTCTAAAAAATAAAAAATAAAATAAATGAGCAAACAATACATAAATAAACTCATAGATCCAGCAAGCAAATTGATGATTACCAGGTGGGAAGGGGATTGTAGGGATTGGTGAAAAATATGAAGGGATTAAGAAGTACAAATTACCACTTATAAAATTAGTTATAGTGATGTAAAGTACAGTACAGGGAATATAGTCAATAACATTATAATAACTATATATGGTGTCAGGTGGGTACTAGACTTATTGGGGTGATCATTTCATAAGCTATATAAATGTTTAATCATTATGTTTCACACCTGAAACTAATATAATATGGTATGTCAACTGTAATTGAAAAAAATGTAATTTTTAAATATCATAGTTTTTGGAGTTTATCACTGGAGAGGCACTACTTTTGGTATTATCCAGATCTAGTTAAGTGATGTCTTTTCTACTCTCACACTCTGATATAGATTACCTAAAAGATAATTTGGATAAATACATGTCTCAGTTTCCAAAAGTTCGGATTCTTCGCCTCAAAGAGAGACACGGCTTAATACGAGCCAGACTGGCAGGGGCACGGATTGCAACAGGTAAGAAGCTGCTGGTTTTTGTTTTATTTTAATATTTTAATATGCATCAAATGTGAAATAATTGTACAGTGCGTCCGCATATCTGTCATTTTTTTGCAATATATGCTTCATCACATATATAAACAGACCCATCTATACATACACACCTTTTTTTTTTTTTTGAACTTTTGAAAAGGAATTTACAGACATTATGACTGTATCTAATACCTCAGCAGGCATCTCTGAAGAACAGAGACATTCCCATACTTAGGCACAACTTGCAGACCTAAATATCACCTAGTATATCACCCTTTCAAATTTTCTCATTGCTCCCAAAATATTTTATATAGTTGGTTTTTTTTTCTTTTCAAATTTAAGAGCTAATTAAGTTTCATGCACTGTGTTTGGTTGTTCGCTCTCCTTAGTCCCTCAGTGTAGAATAGACATCGCAACCATTGACTTGTGGTGTGTGTGTTTTCGAAGAGTATAGGCCATTTGTATTGTATAATCGACCACAGTCTAAAATTTCCTCTTTCTTCCTGTTACCTACAGGATAAATGTTTTTGGCATAAATACTATAGAGAACTCCAGTGATAAGTGAAGGAATTGTGTACTTATTGCTTCAGATCAAGAGGTACAGGATGTCAGGTTGCCCTGCTGTGGGTAATACTCATTTTTGAGCACTTGGTTAAGATATCAGCAGCTAGTTGGTAAAGAAAAGTTACTTGTGGGATGATTCTTTGATCCAATCAAGTATCCCGTTTCCTCATAGACTTTAGCTAATGGGTTAGCATTCAATGATGATCATTGCTTGATTCAGTTATTACACTGAGAGCTGCAAATTTATTTTTCTAATTCTATCATTTCTTTTTTATTAGCTGCCATTGACTTGTAAAATAGTAAGCTCTCCCTTTATCCTTCTCTTCTTTTTTTCTCCCTTCTCATGCACCTATCACTATGGATTTATAACTTTAAAAAATTAAATGTGTATATTATCAGCATTATTGGGGGGCGGGGTGCTCAATTGTCCCAAATCTGAACACCAGGAGCCCTCTCAAGCCTGACCCCATCAATATTTCAGATCTTCAGAATTTTAAAATTGTCTCTCCTCTGACATATGCTTGCTCTTCTGATAGCACTTTGTCTTCCTAAAGAGTAATATGACTTATTGTCTTCACCCCTTTTTAATGTGTAGCTGTTGGTAATGAATGCGAGGAATTGAATCTTTTCTATCCATGGGTATTTTAAAATGAACATCATGCATTTTGGTTCATTTTCACATCTTCTATGGAAGGACCTCATAAAAATATCTAACATTTTGTACCAGGTATTATTCTAAAAACTTTCTATAGTAACTGAATTAATCCTCTAATAATTCTGTGAGGTAGTACAACCATTTTCATTTTACATATTAGAAAATATAGACATAGTAAGGTTGTGATTTGTCCATGTTCTCCTAGCTAATAAGTTGTAGAGCCAGGATTGGAACACAGAAACCTTTGCGCCAGAATCTTCACTCTTATATACTCCACTTTGCTGTCTTTAAATAGGTAGCCACCATTCTGCCCCTGTAAATCATGGCATTGCAAATCTCCACCTGATTGCATTCAAGCATATCCAGATGGTGAATTACATGCTCACCTGAATTTCAATTCCTGTAACTATAGCTCAAATTTGGAAGTCTTCTTATCCCATTGCTTTGCTAAAAAAAAATGCTTTCTCTCTTGGTAATATAAATTTTCAATTGACAACAAATATATCACACAAAAATGGCATTGCAGTGACAACTAAGATTTTTTAATAATTAAGTGCATTTGGAAAAAAATAAATAAACTTCCATGTTTGATTTTCTATGGAAAATAATTGTCCACAAATGACACAAGGCTAGACTGGTCAAGAAATAGTCCAAGTAGGTAACTCTTGAGCTGAGATCTAGTTGAAGAACATTTCCAGGAAAATGGAACAAAAAGTATAAATACACTGATGCAGAAACAAACTCTGTATATACGGATTAAAGAAAGAAGTTTTGACTGATGAATGCTAATTATGGAAAGAAAGGTAGGAGATTCATTTAGGAAGAAAGGCAACGGTAGGCATTTAAAAGTTTATGCATTATTTAAGGAGTGTAGGTATTATTTTTGGGATAATGTAATGCCAATAAAGACTCTAATGAGGATAGTAAAACTGTCTGATTTATATTTTAAAAGCTCACTGTGGTCACTTTGTAGAAAATTAATAAAGGAAGATGAGAGAGAAAGTAGGGAGACCAATAAGGAGGCTATTGTAGTTATCTAGGCATCAGGAAGGTACCAAGACAGATGGAGGAAGTGGTCAGACTTAGAATATATTGTGGACATGGAACTTACAAGGCTTGACATCAGATAAGATGTGAAGAAAGTAATAACAAGAGGAGTTAAAAAAAAGAAACCTAGGATTGGAAAGAATTTGAACAACTAAATGGGCAGTAAGATCATAGCCAGAGGAATAGATTTGGGATTATAAATGAGTTCTGATTTTGTTCATGTAAGTTGGAGATGAAAATTAGACATCCATGTAGATGCTTAAGAAAGCTGATGAATACAAAGCCACAAGTGATCTGCTTGTAAAAAAAATTTCCACTGCCTGCCTAGGGTACAAAACATGCTGGCAAGAATCTTCATAATAGTCTAAATTGTTAGACAACATGAGAAGCTGTCTTCAAATGGAATGTTATGAACTTGATCAAAGCAGTTGCCTAATTGGCCCATTCAAGCACTTGTAATTACAACTGTAAACTAATTTCTTTGAATTTAATAAATCCAAATATGAAAATATGAATCTGTTTCTCAGTCATTTATTAGCACCCTTGAGTACATTAGCTCAGTTTTATTTTACTAACCTTTAAGCTATTATATAATTATAAGATAAATTTTTACATCACAACCAAGTATCGTTTCTGAAATTCTGAGTCTTCTACAAAATAATAAGGGCACAGCAGTGACTCTGATCCTTAGCCATGTCCACTACTAATTCAGGCTCTGGGGCTCAATCAATTCTTCATCTGAATCTGATTCAGGCAAAAAAAAAAAATCTCCAATCAGTTATTCACTGGGAACGAGGAGGTAGAGAGGCCATGAGAAGGGAATGCAAAGGGAAGGCTGTGGTCAATGAATCATATGGGAATATAAAGCAACAGAAGTAAGAAGAGATGTGGTAGTTGAGGTACAAGGTAATAAACCAACCAGCTGGCCCAGTGACTTCTTGCCCTGGCAAGAGGAGCCTGTTGTCAGGCAGATTCAGTAGAGAGACAGAGTAGAGATCAGACTTTCATTTCCTTCATGGCCTTTCACAAAATACTTGACATTGCTCTTTGCATTCCAAAGGATCAGTTGACTAACTTTAAAAAGTGGCATTTGATTCCTGGCCAACTCTGAGGTCTCCTAAAGAGCAACAGCCCTGTACATTTCTGCCACTAGTTTCTACTAAAGTCAACACAGGTGGTTTTCTGAGCATCACTTATAAATCATTATGCAAACTTAAGTAGTGAGCCAGGTCCACATTCCTCAAGGAACCCTAAACACAACATTCCAGCACTACTGTGTGCTGGCAGCAATCTCTCAAGCTGGTCGGCTAAATATAAGTGGGAGTCGTGCTCAAAAAGGAGCCAAAAATGTCTGGCACATTGAGTGGCTCTGGGGTGGCCAAAAAAATAAATAATAAGTTACAGTGAAACCCATATACAAACACTCCAGCATTACTGGAACTTACTCCTAGGAAACAAACAAACAAAAAACCCTGCCAGGTGGCTATCTAGATTGAGTTAATTACCTAGATTGAGCTGCAACTTAAACACTCATTGTTTAAGGGAAAAAAATATAAACAATACTCACCACTTATTAAGCATTTAGGTATTAAGTAGATATTAGAAATAGCCTCATAAGGGAAAGCTCAAAGAGCTGTAAGTTAACTATCCAATGTGGCTAAGGGCAGCCATTCCGGGATGAAGACAGTTCTGTGTGACTTCAATCCTATGTTCATTTCACCATGCATTTCAGCCTCTCGTTAAGAACAGAGTGTAAAATATCCAGAAACCATATCCAGAACAATTAGAAATCCCACTCAAAGTTAGAGACACAGCTCCCTGTTCTGATTCCCATGATCCTGTTTAAAAATAAAATGCCTGAGTGTGGAGCAATGACATTCTTGCTCGGTGGGTCTCATCCCTCCCAAAATACAGTATAAAATGTCATTCGATGTTTTAGACAGATGCTCTTTCCCTCGAGTTCCAGCAATAAGTGAATGAGAAACTTTGTGGGATCTAGGACAGACAGGAATTGAAGACAAGATTGGGGACCCCTTCACCTGCCATTGGTGCCTGAAGAAGATGATCTGACCCTTTGACCCTTTGAGCCTACTGTGGGGATAGGGATAGGGTCTAGCAGAAACTGCTATTTAAACTCTGGGTCTGAATGGACAGAAGTGGAGTGGGATCTGCTTAGGTTCTTTGTTCCTCAGTTTTCTTATCTTTTAAATGGGAATAAATTTAGATCTATACTTCAGGTTTATTGTAAGGATTAAATAATAAAACCATGTATAATGCTTACAACAGGGTCTGGCATAGAGCAAGCACTTCATAGGAGATAAATGATGTTATTAAAGTTTGTCAAAAGCAGAGGAGAGCAGCCAAGTGTCAGAGTGATCAATTAACACAATGAGCCCAAATGCAAGTACAGTCACTGCTTTCCTTACTTGCTGCCATAGTGTAAGTAAAGAAGCTAAACAAGAAGAAAGTCCTGGCTCCCCCAGTGCTGACTTTCCCCCCATGGAATGGGGCTGGGCTGGTGAACTAGAGCAGATATCAATCTTGCTGTGAAAGGAATCCAGAATGAAAGGCTGAGAGAGAAGGGGAAGGGTTAAGAGTAGAAAAGTACTGACTACTGTGCCAGGCCAGCATGCCTCAGTGTTTGAGGTTCAACCTATGAGCCAGGAGGTCATGGTTCCATTCCCAGTCAAGGCACATGCCCAGTGTGGGGCATGCAGGAGGCAGCCTATCAATGATTCATTATTGATGTTTCTCTCTCCCTCTCCCTCTCCCATTCTCTCTGAAATCACTAAAAATATAATTTTATTTAAGAAAAGTACTGAGTGAGAGTGTATCATACAAAAATGTTTTCAAGATCCACCCACATCCCATAAGATGAGGCAGAGATATCGGCCTTAGAGGGAGACCTCCAAATAGAAAAACCTGGGCTAGAAGCAGATCCATAAAAGTGGATAGGGAGGGAAGGGAATAGCTGCGAGGGAAGGAAGACCTGCATCCTGGATTGTACCTCCCTCCAGTGCACCAGCTGTGCACTGAGTCTTCGAGGGGAGGGTGGCTTCCTTCATGAAGCCTGTGGGGTAAAGCTTTTGTAATTGCTTATGGTAGAGCCTGAAAGATTCCACATAGGATTTTGGCCAAGCCAGATACCTCTGAGTATTATTAATCTCTCTCTTTCTCTCTCTCTCTCTCTCTCTCTCTCTCTCTCTCTCTCTCTCTCTCTCTCTCTCTCTGTCTCTCTCTCTCTCTCTCTCTCTCTCTCTCTCTCTCTCTCTTTCACACACACACACACACACACATACACACACTGCTTGAAACAATATAGATACTGCTGAGATTTTCATTGAAAGGAGAAAGAGTGTTACTTCACCCAACTAATTTTTAAAAAATAATTCTTAATACATATTTCTGGCCTCCAAGTTCTATTTTTTCTCTTACAACTTTTTGAAATTGTGATAAAAGATGCACAACATAAAATGTTACCATCTTAACATAAAATTTTACCATCTTAACCATTTTTCAATATATAGTTCTGTACTGTGAAGTATACTAGTATTTCCATTGTTGTGCAACCAATCTCAGAACTCTTTTCATCTTGCAAAACTCAAACTCTAGACCCATTAAACAACCATTTTAACAATGCCTCTTAGACTTCTTGCATCCTCTACTTTAACTTCTTTTCACCCCTATAATGTAGAGCAGTTTTTCCTCTTCATCATCCTTAGACCAAATATGGAATCTCAAACTTCTCCTGCTCTTTTGAAGAACAAAATCCCAGTTCTCCACCTCCAGGGTTTTTGGGATGCAGCCCCTTAAATTAGAAGGACATAAGCAACCACTTCTAATGTTAAGTATTCCCTTCAGAATTTTGCCTACCCATTCTATATGGCTTATCAATTTTTTTGCAAACATAAACAGCACTTGCCCCATGCGACTGCTAGAAACAAAATTTCTTTTATTCCATTGTAAAACAAAATGATAGGAACAAGGAATTCAGTGAGAAAAGAAGACTTCTGCCTTTACAAGCACACTTCTGGAACAAAATCTAAGACCTTATATGACATTTTCAAATGGATTTTTTTTTTCTGGCTCTTTAGGTGATGTGTTGACATTCTTAGATTCTCATGTGGAATGTAACATTGGTTGGTTGGAACCTCTTCTGGAAAGAGTTTATTTAAGTAGAAAAAAAGTAGCCTGTCCAGTAATTGAAGTCATCAATGATAAGGATATGAGGTAATATTGCCGTATTCCACAAGATGCTTCTAAGTAAGTCTTTAACCAGCAGCAACAGAAAATACTGATCGCACTCATCATGGGTGCATTTTTGCAAATCTAAGAAATACACAGTTTATCCATAAATAAATGAAAATACATGATAGATATCTTGGGATCAGAACAGGCAAATCTGTTTATTTGATCATCACAAATTCTTAACCCTTAACTCCATTGTCCAGTTCTTTCCTCTTTGTATTCCACTGAACCAAAAATACATATTTTCCTTAGAACATTATTTTTTGTTTAAGTATAAGTTGAAAATAAGCAATTCAACCAATTGGTCACTATTGCAAATTGTACTTATAAATTTTCTTAAAATGTTCTTTAAAAGTTTGAAATGATCTAAAGTAATCTGCATAAGCACTGATTTTATTCATTAAACAAGACATGGCTTTGGGTCTGTTAAGTATATATGTATGATCTCAGGTAGCACTTTTGGTCTTTCCCTGAACTAGTTACATGACAGTGGACAACTTTCAAAGAGGCGTCTTTGTGTGGCCCTTGAACTTTGCTTGGAGAACAATTCCTCCAGATGTTATTGCAAAAAACAACATTAAAGAAACTGATGTAATAAGGTAAGTGTTTGAAATTTAATTTTAGGAAACAGTCATGTGTTTTTTAAACCCTAGTATGTTTTTTATTCATTTTTGTTTGTTTTTAGAGAGAGGGAGGAAAGGAGAGGGAAAGACATACACATTAATGACAGAGAACCATTGATCAACCGTCTCCTGCATGCTCCCTACTGGGGATCAAGCCCACAACTGGGGCATGTGTCCTAACTAGAAATTGAACCGTTATCTTCTAGTTCATGGGATGATGCTCAATCAACTGAGACACACTAGCCACGGTTCATGCATCTTTTTATACAGCAATTTTACCAAGAAGTATATTCTGTCATTTAATAGGATATCAAGAATTATAGTTATAGCCAATAGTCCAAAAGTAAACAAATTTTTCCTGAAAAAATAGTTTCCCACTACCAAAACTCATTTTTCAAATGGTCCACTGCACCTAGTCAGCCCTGAGTGCAGAGGAATTTGCTAACATATTTTCTGTTCTCTGGGATTTACAACTCAAGATACATTAAGCTAGTTGAATATATATTGCATATATGCTATAAAAACACACATAATATTGAGTTAAAATTAGGAGAGCAAATAATAGTAATAGAAGTATAATTGTAATAAAAATAATAGCTACTATTAGGATTTTCTTTTCAAATCTAGTCTTCCCTTCTAGGATAGCTGCCAATTTCTATGAATGAATTAATAAATAGATGCAGAAGATAGATATGAATTAAAAATTGGAGCTTTATTGCTGTAGTATCTGGATTGAAGAGCACAACTTATACCAGAAGTTGAAGTGGAGGCTTCCTAACACTTGCCCCAGAGTCCAGCCCTGCAAAACAAGCAGGCAGCCAGCCCCAGGCTGTGCAGTGGGAGCTCTGAGCTTTCCCTGTCCGAGAGAGTTATGTACACTCAAGCCAGCAAGTTCCAAGAGAGAGCACAAGCCCAGACTGTGCATTGCAGCATGCTTTCCCTGATTGTAATCTCAATAAAGCAACTCATTCCTTGCCTTGTACGATGCTTCAGGACTGATGCTGTAGCCAGTGAAGTAGGAGTACTGTTATTTACCAAGCGCTCTGCTTTTAACCCACTCTATAACCCTAGGAGAGAGGGGGCAGTATTCCCATTATAGAGATGAGAAAATTGATACTTAAAAGAGTGAAGTAGCCCTAGCTGGTTTGGCTCAGTGGACAGAGCATTGGTCTGCAGACTGACGGGTCTCAAGTTCAATTCCAGTCAAGGGCACATGCCCAGATGTCCAGCTCAATTCTCAGTAGGGGGCATGCAGGAGGCAGCTGATTGGTGATTCCCTCTCCCTTTCTCTCTGAAATCAATAAAAATATAATAAAAAAATAGTAAAGTAATTTTCCCAGAGATACATAGATAGTAAAAGCAGAAATTGGGATTGAAACCCAGATCTGCCTGAACCTAACACTCTTGTTTTGATCTCGCACCTAAAGAATCTCTTTGCCTTTATTAGGCTCTCATGTTGAGGATCAATGGAGTAGTTGAGTTCAGAATAAACTCAACATAATATTAGGAAGATAATGTATTCTGAATAATCTGGAAAGAACATTTGGGATACAGGTCATGCTAGTTCCAGGTCCCACCTTCCTTCTGCCACCATGAACCAGGGAAGTTGCCACTTCAGTGCTCTTTGTGCTATTCCAAGACTTCCCCACACTTGACAGCTATTCTGAAAAGCATCACAAGCTATGATAACAACTGAGCTTCCATGATATGCAAATGTAAAAAAAACAACCTTTTCTCATTGTAGGTGCCCTGTCATGGCAGGTGGATTGTTCTCTATTGATAAAAATTACTTTTATGAACTTGGAACATATGACCCTGGGCTTGATGTTTGGGGTGGAGAAAATATGGAGCTGTCATTCAAGGTATTACGAGTGTTTCTCAAATTCTATCTACAATTAAGAGCTTATAGTTTTAAATGATTTCATTGTACTAATACAATCAGATATATGACTGCCCCAGGGTGGATTGTGTATGTTTGGGGGGATTTCACAGAAATTTTAGGGCCTCTGGATTAATGTTTTCATATCCAAGATTGAATTTGGAAGAATCAATAGCAATCATGAAATTTATTAGAGCTCCCTAATACTTCATAGCACTGTTTCTGCACCAGAATATGGGGGAAATAATTGCCTGTCATCCCGTGTAAACACTGTAGGATTCATACTTAATATAAAATAACTCTCTTGGAACATTTTTCTAATATATTGGAAGCAATGAAATTATTTAGTTATGGGTCATCTTGGAGAACACACATGACAGGAAGTGATCATAAGGCAGGCTGCAGACAGGCCGTAGTGAAGCAATTTGGGACATATCAGAGGACTCTGGATATTTATAAAGTCACTGATTAATATCTGAAGCTGTGGCATAAGCCATAGAGGAGAGCATCCAAAAAGCAATGAGTCTCCTATGCAGTAGGGTGATATGTAGTAAAAGTGGTATTATTTGAGCTCCTGATCAAGGAGAATGGTTTTCGAGTTGTGTGTTTGTGTGTGTGTGTGTTTTTAAGAAAATATATACTTTTTTCCTTGATTCAACTAAAGCAGGAACTCATTTTACATAATCTGGAAAGATTGTGAGGAATTTTTTGGAAAATAGAAATTTACATTGCAAAGGAAGGAAAGGGAAATATATATTTTACTAATTCTGAAATGCTCCACAGCAATATGCAAAACTAAATAAACCTGTTGAATTTAATTTTCTATTGAAGAAGAGTTTAGAAGTTGAGAGGGCTACTTCAAACAAAGTGGGGAGGAGAATAGTCAGGTGGTTCCTTTTCATCGTTAATTGCCCATAATTCGTGGACAAGGATTTGATAATTGATGCTTATCATTAAACTGTTCCAGGTGTGGATGTGTGGTGGCGAAATTGAGATCATTCCCTGTTCCAGAGTGGGCCATATTTTCAGAGGTGATAACCCATATTCCTTCCCCAAAGACCGGATGAAGACAGTGGAGCGGAACTTGGTGCGGGTGGCCGAGGTCTGGCTTGACGAGTACAAGGAGCTGTTCTATGGCCACGAGGAAAACCTCATAGAACAAGGGCTAGATGTTGGAAACCTCACCCAACAACGGGAACTTCGAAAGAAACTAAACTGCAAAAGTTTCAAATGGTACCTGGAGAATGTGTTTCCTGACTTGAAGGCTCCCATTGTGAGAGCTGGCGGTGTGGTAAGTTCAAGCAGCAATTTAAAATCTGACTCCATAAATAATAAAATGCCAATATACTTTTGAAAATGTGGGGCAAAGAATGAATTATTACATTATAAATAAATACCAAGTATGAGTGCAGATGAGACAAAGCAGGGTTGAGGATGAAATAAAAGATAAACTTGACGAAGGCTTCCAGGCAGCCATGTTCACTGATTAACTCAGCAAATATCTATTAAGTATCAATGAACCAAGCAGTATTTTAAAACTGAATTTCAGGTGATAAATTAAGTAGACTTGACCTCTTCTTTGTGGAGCTTGGAATTGAGAAGAGAAAAAATATTATAAAAATAAGCAAGTAAAGAGTGAATAAATATAATAGCTCTCATTTGGGGGACAGGCCAACAGTGAAGAATCTAAGTTAGAGTGGTCAACTGAGGAGATGTTGAAGGCTAGGTCTGAAAGACCAAGAGTCAGCCAAGTGCTAAAGGAGCCCCAGGCACAGGATGCCCTTATGTGAAAACTCGGAGACTGATGACCATCCGAGATGTTCAAGAACTGGGAAGGACATGACTGTTGTTGTCAGAATGTGAAGGAGGAAAGAATGGCACCAGGTGAAGTAGAAGAGGGAGGAAGGAGTCAGATCATGTAGGTTCTTGTAGGAAAGATCCTTCCTTCCTTCTTTCCTTCCTTCTTTCCTCCCTTTTTTCTGAATGTAATGTTAAGTTATTGAGTAGGGTTAAACAATAGGATGGCATGATTTAGAGTTTTATAAATTTAAAAGTAACAAATTGTCAGACAACAGCAGAGAAAATTCCAAGATACAAGGTAATGTACTAAAAGGGAAGAAGCCAAGCTAGATAGGTGGGATAGAGAACAAAGCGAAGAAAAAATCAAGGAAGAGAAGAAACTAGACAAAAGCCATTTCAACCTGTTCTAGGAGTGAGGCTAGATTTGAAGAGGATGGCCAGATGTGAGGACATTTACCATAGGATGGGTTTGAAGATGGTTAGTCAAGTGTTGACCTGAAGCTCTTCCCTAGTTATGCATATTTTCATTTTTTTTTATTGTTCTATTTCTCATTTAAGGTTTACTGCCAGTGTTGTTTTATTTTCTTTAAGTTTCGTTTTTCTTCATGCCAGAGGTTCTCAGACTTGAACAGCAATAAGCTTGCTTTCTTGAGCCAACGTTTTTCAGTTTGCCTTTGAAAGGGGATTGTGCAAACCAGCCATTCTTTGTGAAGCAAATCTCCTGATGACAAGGACTTAGTAAAACTATTCTCTCTGGTGGTATAAGGATAACCTGGAATATTGCGAAAGAGAGGAAAGTGGTCTGAATTTTGTTCTATTGTTAGAACAAAATTCAACTGACAAATGGGTACACATGATCTGTTTGTACATACCATAATGTATTATGAAATTGCCATCCTTATAGGTCAAAATAGAAACGTGCTGCCTCAGGTAGTTCAATCTGCTGTTTTATCTTAGGCAACTCAGAAGGAAGAATACCCTGGACTTATACACTATTCAAATGGTTTGTCTGTAAAATAAATTTATATTTTTAAATTCTATCTCTTGAGCAGGAAAATAAATTTTCACCATAGTAATTTTTTCCTGTCCTAACCACACAAAAATCTCAGCAAGAGCATTACCATGCTTTAGCCACCAGAGGGAACTAAAAAACTGTCTTTTGCCTTCTCTGTGTGGCTAACTTGTTTGCATGCTCATGAAATTTTTGAAGAGTTCTCCTAATGAAACAGCCTTTGGCTGATGCCTGAGTTATTATATGTTAAAATGCAAAAAAATATATTTTAAATGATTTTAACAGATTATTTCTCTCACTATCAGCTGCCTTCCTTAGACAAATTTTAATAAATATGGCATTTGCTTCCTTCTGAAGCAACCAGTAGGGAGCATTATAACCATTAAGAAACAAAACAAAACAAAAAATCAGGACCTTTCTTCAAGCAATGCAGAGTGAGATGAACTAGAATGTTATTCTGGATATGCAATCTTGAAAAGTTCCATGAAAATGAATTCCACAACCTATACACTTAGGAATATAAATCCAGTTATGTTTATTTTTTTGTTTGTTTGTTTGGTGGCAGGGGGCGGGTGTGTGTGTGTGTGTGTGTGTGTGTGTGTGTGTGTGTGTGTGTGTTCTGTTTGTGTTTTTTAGTGAGAACAAGTAATTTCTTAGTAAACCAAAAATATTTGGAATAAATAAAATGACTTCTCCAATAATGTATATTTATCTTGGATAAAATTCTTAGAAACAGGCCTATAGCCTAATGTTTAACAATTCTGTGATAAACTGGGACTAACTTCCATTCCCTAATTTGGCAATAAAATAATTCAAAATGAAAAGTTTAAAATTGATATGCTATCTGATTTTTTAAAAATATTTAAATGGTTTACTGTAAAATCATAGGTTCAATTCTTTAAAAAAAAAAAATGAAGCCCTGGTCTGTTGCTCAGTGGCTAGAGAAGTCAGCTCACAGACCAAAGAGTCTTGGGTTTGATTCCCTCCCACCTCCCCACCACAAGGGCATATTCCTCAGTTGAGGTTTCCCTGCCCCCATAGGGCCATGTATGAGAGGCAACCAATCGATGTGTCTCTGTCATGTTGATGTTTCTCTCTCTCCCCCTCCTCCCTCCCTTCTACTCTGTAAAAATCAATGGAAAAAATATTCTCAGGTGAGGATAAAATAGTACAATATTTTCTGGTGTATAAGATGGCCCCCTAATTTTACAGTTAAAACATAGGTTTAGGCCTATATTCTCTGTATAAGACTACCCCCCACTTCAAAGAAAAGACTTACTTTGCTGTCAAGATCTGCAGGTAATTTTTGTTCAATTTTGGTCTTTTGCCCCTGATTTTCGGTTGACTTTTTTTCGTTCAAAAGTCATCTTATACGCCAGAAAATAAAATAAAATGACTCAATTTTGAAAACCATTCACAATGTGATAAAGAATCACAGTTCTTTAGCACTTCATCAAATATTTTGTTATTAAGAAAAGGAGTTTCTCTAGTAAATTTCTCTAGTAATCACTGGTAAAGAGATAAGGGAAATAGATCTTCAGATGAAGTGGGTGGGATCAGGGGGAGGGAGGCAAGGATAGAAAAGATTGCCCTTTTTCCTTCTAATGCCTCTCAGTTCTTGGAAGAAGAAATTGTACAAAATAAATACAAAGAAATCTATTGAACCTCAGGCTCCCAAACACTGTTCTGGGCCATCCTATTAGCTGTGCTGCCAAAACGAGGGATCCATGGTCAAATTCATATGGCAAACAACACACTACACTCCTCTTAGAGCAGCAAGCTGAACATTATGGTACCCTACTGAAAGTTCTGAAAGGTTCCAGGGTAAGACTACCTGTTCAAGAAATTGAAGCCAGACCCCTTTGACAATAAAATATTTTCTAAATTATCCACAAGATTTTTATCTCTGTTTCATCTCTATTTACTCTTCTCTGAAGTTCATGATGGTTGATTCCTTCTGTGATTACTGACGGCTCCCACTTACTAATGGTGAGGGGGTTTCTCCCATATTTGCCATTTTAAATTGTGAACAGAGCTTTCTTTGAGGATTTCTGACAGAGTTCCTGTCCTTCTAGAATTTCTTTTGCATTCCAGCCAACCCCAAAGAAAACAACCGGCTACTATTTTTATGTTGTTTCAGTGCCTCAAGGGTCTGTCAGGGTTTATACTCAATAATACAAGTGTAAATTCACATCTCAAATCCAAATGAAGGTCACTGTAAGGTTTTAGATCTGGCAGAATCTAGCCTCCCTGTGGCATCCCTCTGCTAACGGGTAGATTACTTTTTCCAGGACACCATTCCACTGAAGGCCTTACTCAAGTTTTGCATTATTATGTGGAGAATTGCAGTCCCATATCTCAGGTTTATCTATGCCCAAGTTTTTCTCCTGTCCATAAAATGTTGGTCCCTTTCTTACAGCACTAGAGGCCCATTGCACAAAGATTCATGCAATAGGCCTTCCTTCCCCTGGCTGCCAGCACCAGTTTTCCTCCAGTTCCCGTAACCCAGGCCTTCACTCTGACCGCCACTCTGCCCCCCTGCCCTCCCCCTCATAGCAGGCATCCCACCCCACACAGCCACTCCACACCTGCATGAGTGCTGCCCAGAAGCCCAGAGCAGCCACCGCCATCTTTGTCTTGTTAATTTGCATACACACTCCTGATTGGCTTGTGGGTGTTGTGAAGTGATGGTCAATTTACATATTTACCTTTTATTAGTGTAGCTTTGCAGTTTTCCCCACTTGCTTTTAGTTTAGTTTAGTTGTTATTTTTCTGCATTTTCTTGCCAGCTAAGCTATGAGTGGAAAAAGTTAGGACCAACTCACTGAGCATCATGTTCTGACACTGGTAGTTTTGTGAGCTACATAGGCTGCGTCATCACCCCAGAGTTATAGCTCTGTGTTAGGCATGTGGAACAGGAGAGGGCACTAATAGTGTCCCTGGCAACTAAGACCTCACCACCTCCCTGCTCCACAGGCTCTGCTGAGTGGAAACTTGGTTTTATACAGCTCTTTTAGAAACCTGAGAAGTCTAAATTGCACTATTAACCCACAGCCTCGTTAGTCCTGCCCAGGATGTCAAGAGAGCAAGGGAATCAACATTTTTCTGCGTTAAATGGTGACTTATAGAAAGCTGCCTCTATATTTGACCCTGCAAATCCATTAAAAAGCTGGGGGCCTGCCAGAAAGGGCCTTTAAGCTTGGCTCCGTATTCATTTTCGTGACTTTCCTGTAATGAATTGTAGCTTGTCTGAGTCATTAGGAAGATTCTGACAGAGAATCAGCTGGAAATCTGCTGTTCGTGAAGGACTCAATTTATCTATCTGTGATTCAGTGCCTGAGCAGTCAAGTAGCTTGGAGGGGTCAGCCAGGCAACAGAGCCCGTAGCTGTCAGTTTGATTAAATTGCAAGTGTGTGCCCTGACTTTTAATATATGCATCAGACAAACTTGAGCCAAGAAAATAACTACTTTTTCTTGCCACCTTGTGCTCATTCCCTATTCAACTTCCCAGGCAAGGGTTAATTAAAAGCTTCTGTTTGTTGGCTCTGTGGCTAAATCGCAGACCTCAATTGAGAGATTGAAGCTGTACGTTAGCAAGATTACATTATGTCTCATAGAGATAGCAACCACTGAACTCTTACAGTGCTAAGTACTGCTGAGCTATATTAACTTAACTGTCTTTTAACCTTCCTGTAGTTTCATATTCTGTGTTTTCTGAATGTCTTGATCTACTTTAAAATATTTGTTTCTTCATACATATTTTATATTTTGCTTCCTAGCTTATTAACATGGCCTTGGGTAAATGCCTTTCCATTGAAAATACCACAGCCATTCTGGAAGACTGTGACGGGAGCAGCAAGGTATGCTGGGCTGGGGTTTGCTCTCTGATAGCAGGTGCCGCTCCCGGTACTGGGTAGTGCAGGGTATAACACATTCTCACTCACTTGAGAAATTGGTTTTTGCTTACAGAAACAATAGTTAGATAATCATAAATTTGGTGATAAGAGGACCCACCACTAAATGTAAAGATGTGAGTACTGAAGTCAACCCATGAGAAACGCAGATCTGGCTCCTTCACTTGCATAGTGTGTAAATTTTGTATGTTTCTTAACCCTCGGTAAATGGCAGTGATGATAGTGCCCTCTCTAAAGCTAGTGTGAGAATTGAATTAGATGAAACTATGAAGCAATTAGAACAACATCTACTTATTAATGCTCCTCAAATGTTCACTGCTATAATAACAGATCAAAAAAAAAAAAAAAGAAAAAAGAAAAGAAAAAGGTGAAAAATAGCATGTAAGGTATAAAGATAGAGTAATAAAGAAAAAGACAGGACATATTTTTAAATAATTTATCTCAGGGAGCAATTTGATTCTCTGATTCTATCCCCTGCTCCCATTCTTCTATATCTGAAGGAAATAATGTAAATCACATAACCCACGATCCATGGTGGAAAACCCTGCAGCAACACTCCCACAGACTCAGAGCACAGTGGTTAGGGGAGGAAGGGACTCTGCAGTGCTGGAGGGGAGCTGGAGGGGAGCTGGAGGTGATGGCACTTCCCCCTCAACACACTCTCCCTATCCATTCTTATTCTGTGGGGACAGTTTCTGGACACACGGGGACATCAATTCATGTGTACAACTCAGTTCCCTAAAATTGCAGGCCACTCTTAGGTAGAGAAATTATTTTTTGTGATAACATAGGCTTGCCAAAACATACTACTTTGATTCAACTAGGAGATATTGCTTTTATTTTGAAGTACATCCCATCTCTACCTCTTCATTCAAAGCTTCTACTAGAAAAATTAAAAAAAAGGTATTTTGTCATCTCTGTGGCTATAATTCAGCTGTGGATTGTAACCTGAAGCTAAGGGGACACTTGAAAGAGAAAAGTCTCAAAAATCAATGAAAAGAAATAACATATGTATTAACAATTCTGAGAGGAAACAACTCACAAATAGTAAAACAAAACAATATTAGTCCAAATTATATGAAAATAAAATATTAAATAGTGCAACCCTTCCAGTCTCATCAATATTTTATCTGAAAACCCAAGTTATGGTTGCAATAACCATTGAGTCTCTTGAGAGGAGACTAGGAGGGAAATATATGACTTGCGCAACCCCTGCCTTCCACAAATGCCCATCTCCCCTTTGTCTTGTTACTCCTTTTCAGCCTCTGCCTTCTGTGGCTTGTTTGAGTAATAAAAAGTAAAGAAACTTGGTGGAGATAAAGGTATGTTTGCCAGAAATAATGAGACAATATTAAGCCAGTGACTACAGCATTTATAATAATAATAATAATAATAATAATAATAATAATAATAAAGCTTACAAGGAATAAATCCCTAGGGTTGTAGGATTGTCCCATCAAGCACTATCTTTTCACCTTACTTAAAAAGTCTCTTTAGTTAACTTCTCAGTCAGTTGAGATGTCCCTTTGCAAGGTACTTTCTAGCTTCTCTTCATAGCTACATAGCTTCTTTGTATTATGTCCATGCTTCTTGTCAACATAAGAAACATCCAAACCTATAGAAGCATTTAATTAGTTTATTTGAGCCAAACTGACGGCATATACCAGGGAGTATGCTCTAGAATAATAGTTTTGCAGGGTTTTTGTTTTGTTTTGTTTTGTATTTTTTGTGCATTTGAGATTAAGGAAGGTATGTAAGGAAATACATGAAGATGGGAAAAAGCAAGACCAGGTTTGGATTATAGGTTAGTACAGTGGTCAGCAAACTCATTAGTCAACAGAGCCAAATATCAATAGTACAACGCTTGAAATTTCTTTCTTTTTTAAAAAAAATATATTTTATTGATTTTTCACAGAGAGGAAGAGAGACGGAGAGTTAGAAACATCGATGAGAGAGAGTCATTGACCAGCTGCCTCTTGCACACCCCCTACGAGGGATGTGCCCGCAACCAAGGTACATGCCCTTGACCGGAATCGAACCCGGGACCTTTCAGTCCGCAAGCTGACACTCTATCCACTGAGCCAAACCAGTGCCGGCTTGAAATTTCTTTTGAGAGCCAAATTTTTTATACTTAAACTTCTTCTTACGCCACTTCTTCAAAATAGACTCACCCTATTTTGTGGAAGAGCCACACTCATGGGGCCAAAGAGCCACATGTGGCTCACAAGCCACAGTTTGCCGACTACTGGGTTAGTAGTTCAGATTATGTGCTCTTGCACATTTTTGAAACAGGTCCGAAAGGGAAGTTACGCTTTAGAAGGAGAGGTCTTTGAAAGGGGATGTTTAACCTCTTGCCTAAGAAGGTACATGCCTGGGGCATGACCACCCACCATGACCTGCCTGTTGGGAATTTGTGATCAGACCCCCCAGTGAGGTTACTTTCCATAGAACCACCTTTTATCCACATTCTCAAATTTTAATATGCATACAAATCACCTGGGGAGTTTGTTAAATGTGAATTCTGATTCAATAGGTTCATGGCAGAACTGATTCTCAGCATTTCCAATTAGATGTAGGTGACCCTAATGATGGTCTAGAGTGGCATATGCCAGGGAGTAAGACCTTTCAGCAGAAAGGTCTACCCCAATGCCATACTTGATCATCTAAGTGACATCTCAATCACATTACCAATAATTCATTAGATAAAAACTTTTAGATAGATTTTATCAGTAGACTTATTTACTAATTCCTTTACAAGTTTCCCACAGACTCAGAGCCTTACAGTTTATTAACCAGGCAGATAGTACTAGGTTGTAAATAACTGGAGAAAATATATAAAAATTAAAAACATGGTTCCATCACCTGAATTGGTATTTATTTTAGACCTTGGTGATTCCCCAAAATTGGACTTCTCTAAGATCAGTACTTTACTTTATCTACAAAGAAAGATTTTAAAAAATATATATTTTATTGATTTTTTACAGAGAGGAAGGGAGAGGGATAGTTAGAAACATCGATGAGAGAGAAACATCAACCAGCTGCCTCCTGCACACCTCCTACTGGGGATGTGCCCACAACCAAGGTACATGCCGTTGGCCGGAATCGAACCTGCAGGCTGATGCTCTTTTAGTCTGCAGGCCAATGCTCTTTCCACTGAGCCAAACCGGTTAGGACACAAAGAAAGATTTTTAACATTTCCTCTCGGGGTCCAGTTGTCTAGCATAATAATGTCCACAAGGTAGTTTAGGGCCCTGACTTGGATCTCCTGGAGTCCCCCTGGCTCAAGGCTATGGTGGTTTGGAGGTTCTAATACTTCAAGCACCAGGTGGTCTGGGATTCCGAACTCCTGGAATGACATTTGTTTGCAGATATGTATTAACTGGACTGTGGTGTACTGTTGCAGCTAACCCTTTCTCAAGGCTTACATAAGTGTACTAAACACTTGACAGTCATTACCCAAGCCTGTGAGACAGTCACGCTGAAGTTGCTACCCAACTAAAAATGGAGAAAAATTAAATTAGACAGGATTAATATTATGCCCCTACCATCAGTGTTGAAAGTGGCAATACCAGGATTCACATCAAAACATCTGACGAGAGTGCCTGTATTCTTAACCTTTGCTGGCAAAAAAAAAAAAAAAAAAAGGTTTGACGAAGCCTTTACTTGGGTTTTCCACCTGAAGTGACCTTTCTCTTACTCATTTTTCCCACAGCTTCAACAGTTTAATTACACCTGGTTAAGACTTATTAAACATGGAGAACGGTGCTTGGCTCCCGTCCCTGAGCAGGGAGCCTTGAGGCTGCTCCTTTGTGATAACAGAAACAAAGGGCTGAAATGGGTACACAAGTCAGCATCAGCCTTTCAGTCAGAACTGGTAAGCGAAATGTGTGTATCTCTTCTCTCCTGCAAATCCAACTTCCTGCTAAAGGTGACAGAACACCCTCCCTGGCAGCCAATCAATCTGAAGATTTCAATGTGTTTGTGACAACAGATGCAGTGAAAAAGTTCTCACAGAGAGTTGGGCATATTTTTGTAACTTCTCAATTATTTTAAGTAGAAGTCACCAGGTTTTGTTGGTTGTATTGCTATCATCATCTGTTTCTAAAGTTGTTGTTTAGTCAGTTAACAATGCCAAAAGTTGGGTTATAGGCTAGAATTAGATTGCTTCAGTTACCAGAAAGCTCACAAGGAGAGTGTAAGGGGAAAGTAAGAAGCAGTGTGCTCCCTCCCAGCCCTGCATTTTACTCTGCATTAGGTTCCCCATTCTGCCTCTTTCCAACTAGGAAGGTTTGCTCACGTCCCCTGGTTTCCAGAGATAGGACTCCCCTGGGATGCTGGAGCCAGCTCCCATCAGCTTGCAGCAGCTGGTTGTGTTCAACTCTTGCCAACTGCACCTTCAGGGATCCTGCTTTGGTAAATTCAAACCAGCCACGATGTGTGTATTTATATCCATGCTACAAACCAGGGGGTGTTTTTCCAGAGGTCCGGTGGTTCATGTTTACCAGAACATCCCAGCGATATTCTAGTCCCTCAAAGTCCTCTCAGCTTTTCCCAATTCTGTTTAAACAGGGTACAAAGTCATAAGCATTGATGTAGGATCTTGAAGTGGCAGAAATAATGTCAGGACTATCTTCTCAAATTTCCCACTAGCTCACCAGGAGGTAGCCCTCAAATCTGCTAAATGCACTGAGTATATGGAGACCATCATTTTGCTCAGGAATAGTCCCAAAGTAAGCCCACATTTTTACTTGGAGTGCCTCCATTCCTTTTGATGTCACAGCCAGGATAATTTTCTTCCTGCCCAGGGTCAAAACCAGGGCCTGAGCCACACATTCTCTAGCCTTTCCCCCTTTAAATTTTCTCTGTTACATTTCAGTTCCTTCAGGGCATTTTTTTCCTCTTTAGTAATAATGGTTATTATTGAGTTTTTCTGAAATATTAGAAATTATCAGTGCACAAACTGATAATTTTATGTTTTATAGTATTGGGAAAATCCATAAATATGTATCAAATAAATTACATCTTACCTTCTGTTTCTCTAACCCTGTGCCAAAGAAAGGAGGGAGAGAAAGAAAGAGGGAGAGAGAAATAGAGACAGGGAGAGAGAGAGAGAAGAGAAAAAGAAAAAGAAAATACAGAATATGAGAAAAACAAAATCCTTACCCCACCTTGTTTGTGACTTTAACACGATAAAGAGCTACTTTCTGCCTTGAGTTCCCCTTTAATGGTCTTTTTTTTTAAAGTATTTTGGTAGTTTTCATACTAACCTTTCTAAACCCTCCAAGATGTGAAAGTCTTAGAAAGAAAAGGGAGAAATGGAAAATAAGACTATGAATGGCAGGAGCATGTCTCCCTTTTCAGGAAGCAGTAGGAGTTGGGAACTTCATGGAAGGAAGAAGGGTAATGGTAAGCTTGACCCTGGATACCAATGAATTATTAAAGTTATGTGTTCATAAATCAGCATTTAAAAGATGTTCTCTAGGTCAGCCTTCCCCAAATGCTCCGGAATGAGGTCACCTAAAGGTAAATAGTTTCATAGATGGCTTATAGGACTTGGGGAATGGAATGCCCCTCTACCTCATGTGTCTTTAGGATGGGGACACGTTTTTTGGTGTGTGTGTGAGTGTGTGTAGGTTTTTGTTGTTGTTGTTAATCCTCACCTGAGGATATTGTTTCCATTACTTCTTCAGAGAGAGTGGAAGGGAGAGTGGGAGGGGAGAAGAGAGAGAGAGAAACATCAACTGGTTGCCTCCCACACAAGCCCTGACTAGATTTGGGGAGTACACCTGAAATGCATGTAGGTGCCCTTGACTATAATCGAACTTGATATCCTTCAGTGTACATGCCAATGCTCTAACCACTGAGATACTGGCCAGGGCTGGGGACGAGTTTTTTAGTTACCTCTTTACAATCCAGCAGAACATTGTAGGTAGTCAATAATAATGTTGCTCAAGTTTAACTTCTTTACAAAACCTTGAGCATACTCGAGCATCATATTGCCCAAGTTCTACAAGGGAGTTTGTTACAATGCAGATTCTGATTCCATAGGTCTATGGCAAGGCTGAAAGTCAGCATGTCTAACTGTCTCCTGGGTGATGCTGATAATAGTTTCAGCAGAGAGGTCTAACCCAATGACATACTTGATCATCTAAGTTAAATCTCAATTACATTACAAATGATTCAGTAGATAAAAGCATTTGGAATGATTTTACCAGAGGTCTATTTTTTCTAATATAGTTTTGTAGGAATATCTATAAATAAATTATTGTCACCCCTGTTTAATAATTTTAAAAGTATTATAAAACTAATAATATTTTTATTATATATAAGTATATAATAATACTATATATAATCATCTTTGTCATAGTCCTGGATAGTTGAAAAGTTCAATAGATTAAAAAAAAATTACAAAGCCATGGGCAAACTCTAAGTAGACCATTCACCATTTCTAGGATATTAATATATATTAAGCAATAATAGAACCCTGAAATGCTTTTGACTTTTTTCCTAATTACATCCAAATTTTCTGGATATCAGGCATTGTGTACTCAGAGATTATGGTAGGGAGCTCATAAGTAGAATACATTATTTATCTAGCACTTTGTATTCTAAATTTGCAGTCTAAGGCTTAGACTTAATTAAGAAATTAACTGACTCACTACCTGTGTTGGTATGTGGGTGTTATTTTGTGTGTGTGTGTGTGTGTGTGTGTGTGTGTGTGTGTGTGTGTGTGTATGTGTGTGTGTTTTCTTTTCTATCATCAGTGAAGGAGCCATCATCCATCAAATATAGAAATGCCATCTGGTACTATTTTCTTTAAATAATATAGTTATCAGCCATATGATTAGAAAATTCATTTTTGAAGTATGAGAACTTAGTGTAAGCCAGAGCAACAAACTTAATACTGCCCAAAGCCAGTGTTTATGCTATTAATTTAGTTCAGAATAATCCCTAAAGAATAAAAAATGTAAGTGCCTATCTTTTTTTTTTTTAATTGGTTTCCATTTCTTTACCGTGGCTCATTCTCAGATCCCCTTTCTCTCCAGGTGGATCACATTGTTTTTGGAAACTATCATGAGTTGTTATGCTTGGAAGGAAATTTTTCTCAGAAAACCCTGAAAGTTGCTGCTTGTGACCCAAAGAAGCCATATCAAAAGTGGAAATTCGAAAACAATTTTGAAGTCTGAAGAGGAACTGATGTTTTATGTAGTGAGCCCATTATACCCTGTGAAAATGACAGTGAACTTGGTGATTATATTTCTCCATGGTTTAAATTTTTTAAATGAAGAACACTTGAATAGAAGATTTTCTAAAATCACAATATTTGAGATACCAAAAGTTAACTCAGGGAAACAGTCCAACATTGGATTGGAGTTCTTCCTCAGTACTAGAAGTCCTTTTGAATGACCTGCTTTCTTCTCTGTGCTAAAACTCAGCCTGTAAATTTCCCCATACAACCTATTGGGTACCCGGAAATAAAGACAGAGTACTTGGGGAAGTACGATGATATTCATTATGAATGTGTTGGATAATAACCAGCTCTTTGGCCCACAAGTAAGGAGAATCTGGTCCTTTATTTACTATTTTTTTCATCAAAAAATTTACTTGAGTTTTTATGGATAGAAGTACTCATAAACACACAGCTATCACCTTGGCAAAAACCCTTCAGATTACATTCATGTTTAACTTATAGTTTGGAATAGTATTAATATTACTAGATGCTCAAATTTCATGGGTGGGGTCCCTAGGCCTGGCCAGCCATCAGGGCTGATCTGTGCAGCAACCAGTGGGATAATCAGGGGCCCCACTGGCACCTGCCTTGGCTGGCCTGGAGTCTGTGGGCTGGAGCAACTCCTGAGTTGAGCGTCTGCCCCTGGTAATCAGTGCACATCATAGCAACCAGTCATTCCACTAGTCCTTCCACCATTTGGTCAACTTGCATATTAAGCTTTTATTATATAGGATACTCCCTGGTGGCAGGATTTTGATCTAGCTTACTATATGATGCTTTTTTATCAGTCTGAGTCAGTGGAACATATTTAATTGAGGATGTCAAATGCTTGTTCATTTCCAGATGTGGACATTGTTTCAGTTCATTTTGTACTTTTAAAACTACACTTAAAAAATGGTTATGCTAGTAACTTCCTAGACTTATGAATATTAAAAAACCAAAAAGGCAAAGTAAAAGAGGCTTGATCACAAAACACTATAATAATCCAAAATTCACTTAATCACTGAACACATATGAGGAGTTGAAACTAATAAAACAGAAATAGAGCCTTGAAAAATCTTAAGGTTCTTTTATATAAAATACTGCCTTAGATTTAACAACATTCATGGGGATAAAGTATGCTAAAATGGGCTTTAGAGATTTTAAAGTAGAAATAAAATGAAAGAAACAATGAAAGGGGAAGAAAATGAGGTAAGCAATCTTTAGGAAGAGAGGTAAGAAAAAATTGCCCTAGATTTGTCCAAAAAGAAAGGGAATCTTGTACTTAAATGGGGGTGAGGGGGAATAATAAAGCCTCAGATGTGGATCTAAGGATAACACTGGGGAGAAGTAATATTTCTTTGACTTATATTGAGCCCTAATCTTAGGTATGTCAATATTTGGGCATTTCAGAGAAGATCTTAGAAATCCACATTCATTTTGGTAAGAAAATTGACACCCAAAAGACACATTACCCATCTGAAAATCTCAGAGGAGAGAATTAGGATTAAACTTGTATCTCCAGAGACAGGGCTCATTCTTTTGCCCCTGGCCACTGGCCTACACATAACCTGTTCCACAGCATTTCTATAAAAGATGAGAAACCATTTTGCTGGCAGTGGATCTCTGGAAGATAGCCATAACCATGCTATATGCTTATTAATAGTTAAAAACAAAACAAACAAAAACTTTGTTCAGGTGAGGAGATAATAAACCTGGAATTTTTTTAAGAGAGAAAGAGGAGGGAAGAAGAGAGAGAGAGAGAGAGAGAGAGAGAGAGAGAGAGAGAGAGAGAGAGAGAGAGAGAGAGAAAACAAACATCAAACCTCCTTTTGGTGCATGGGACAATGGTCCAACCAACTGAGACACACAGGCCAGAGCTAACTCTGGTGTCTTTAGTTCTGACTTCCTATTTAAAATTTATTTTTAGCATGGCCGGTGTGGTTCAGTGGTTGAGCATGAACCAAGAGGACCCTGATCCAATTCCTGATCAGGTTTTGGGCTTGATCTGCAACAGCAGGCTTGCAGGAGGTAGCCAATCGATATGTTTCTCTCTCATCAATGTTTCTATCTTTCTATCCTTCTCACTTTCTCTCTCTCTAAAAAATTAATAAAAACATATTTAAAATTTACTTTTAATTCCCAATTAATTCCACAAGAGCAGAGCATGAATCAGAAAAGGAAGCAGTTTTGCATATTTGCATCATATTTGGGATGCTTTTTTCAAATAATTGACATTGCAGATGAGGTAAGAGAATGATTAGAAAATTAGCTAATTCTTTCAAAAAAGAACCAAGTGGGGGAATAAAACATAAGGTGGTTGCCAAATGTCTAATTAAATGGCTGACCAAACTGAATATGCTAGGAGCTTCGTGTGGTTCTTCATGTAACTGAAAAATGCTGAACAGTTATCTTCCCCCAATCTAAAGACTGTATTTTTATTCAAAAACAGATTCCATCAAAAATGTCAACTCTGCTCAGAAAAAGAGTAATTATGGTTTTCATACACTCCACTTCGGGTATAACAGCAGAAGAAATTTGAATGTTTTTCTCAAAAAAACCTTTGAGTTTGTTCAGTGTATGCTCTTCCCAACTTTACTTTGACATACTTATCATATGAAGCTATGTTTGAATCTATATTGTCAATATAACAAAGGATTGTTTTCATACATCACATATTTGCTCTTGGGTAGAATTTTAAAACCAGCATTTAGCATGTATTTTTTTTTTCAATTCCTCTAAGATACAAGTAACTGATCACTAGTAAGGAATCTTCTAGGCCTGACCCTGCCAGTGCTAATTGTGAAATCTATTACCAACATTTTCTTAAGATTGCCCTATAAATTGTGGTTTCAGAAGGCTGTAATAAAGGTAAAAGTGCTACCAGGTCTTCTGATACTTCTAATGAAAAACCCTTGGAAGGGACACAATAAGATCCTTATTAGCCCTAAATTTTCCTATAGGGGCTGTGTTATTGGGGATTTCATATTTTTTTCTTGTTTGACTTGAGTTATTGCCCTTCTTAGAAAAATGTCTTTTACCTTAAACACAAGTGTAGCTTCTACAATATTTTACAGGACTTATTTGGCCAAAAACTAGCTTACCAAACCATCTGAGTGCTTCTGAGCTTTTCAGTTTGCACAATTTTTTTTTTCTATTTCAACAGCTACCCAAAGCTTCTACCCTACTCCCCCAAAGGATGGCACAGCTGTTGTTGGTACAATGATGTTTTATCACCAGCATCAAATTTCCTCAATTCTGCTTGCTGACATTCAATTAGCTGTCACTCACTGGGCCAGAAACCATCATGTATCATGACCACAATGCATTATTGGCTTTTCCACGCTAATTTGGAAATATTCTCTTAGCTTTTTATACACCTTGCTTCTAGTATGCCCTTATGAATTGTAAAGGGGCAAAATATAGTTAGTGTAGGAATTCCATTTTCCCGGGCTCATGAATAGCTTACAGTGATCTTAAGAAGACTCTCATGGCAGATAATGGGGTTGAGATGCACCAGGGAGTACTATCTTTATTTGTTTTAACACCTTTAATTTTATTTGTTTTAACACCTTTAATTTATTTCCTGTGTTTACACATGCAAACACAGGAAATAAATTATGCCTTAGATGAAGGCCTCAATACCTTGGATAAAAACAAGGAAATGATAAAGAGTAAATAGGAAAAAAAATGGAAACAAATTATCTTTGACTACCTACTATGTGCTAGGCACAGCTCACTGTTATTCACAACTCAAGAGAGGTAGGTCTCATTCTCCTTACTATGCTGCAACAGGATGGTTGAGAGGGATTGTCTAATGTCATTCCACTGTAAAAGCTAAAAACCCAATTTTTATTCTATGTGGTTCAAAAAAGAAGAAGAAGAAGAAGAAGAAGAAGAAGAAGAAGAAGAAGAAGAAGAAGAAGAAGAAGAAGAAGAAGAAGAAGAAGAAGTTGTCTCTTTCATTATGCCATGTTACTATGACTTTTCTTTCTTTTTTTATGATCTTTCTTTTTTTAAGTAGGCAGACAGCTCAGTAGAGCTCAGTTAAAATCCTTTGCTTGTGGAATCAAACCTCTTTGTTATCACTTTTGGATGCTCTATAGACAGGAAATAGAAGTTGCACTCCTTCTGTTAAAAAATAACTGAAGTGTAGCTTAAGGATAGCCATCCAGATGCTTTGCTGTGGCCTATCTCCTTGACTTCGTGTTGGAATCATTCTTTTCAATTTTCTGGAATAAATATGAGAGGGAGAAGTGGCTATAGAGAGATTGCTTCTCTTTGAATATTACTAATTCTTTCTTCCCCTAGGCATTAATCAAAGCTGACAGATTTGAACAAAGGTGGGAAGTGAAAAAATGGGGAGTCCCTAACTGAGACTTGTAATTTTTACTTCTATGTATTGCCATAGTGTTTTTGCAACAACTTTTGCATAGGTTATTCAACAATTCCTACAAGCCAAAATGTCTTGCAACAAGAAAAGGAACACTAACCAAAGATAATGTAGAAAATATTTATTTTTGGCAAATAACCATCTCATGGACAGGTTTGAATAAACCATGTTACGTATTATACTGGTATAGTCCTGATGAGGTTTATTGGATAGTATTTCAATTGTTGGTGGTGCCTGTTTCTAAAAAAAAATGGGGGGAAAAACACCACTACACTAAGCAGACTTACTGCCTCTGTTTTCAACCTAATGAGTCAACTAATAGTTACCACTCCAATTAGGGTCTCTTTGCAAGTGTAAGTGAATCTTTGTTTTGCAAAAACACACATAAAATTATCATTTTCCAGCAAATAAAGCAACTGCTAATATGCTGAGTCCCTAATGATGACAGTTGCCATCAAATAAGTAGCAAATAATTTATTTAAAATAAAAACAGAGGCTTTATATTTTATTATTGATTGATAGATATTTGCCAGGTTTAGAATATTAGTCATAATATAAATATATATAAAGCCTTTATATTAGATATTGAAATTAAAATTTTTGATAGCAGATCTTCACTTGACTATTGAAAACCATATTGATCTTTGTAAATATATGTGCATGTTTATATATACGAATATATACAAAATATATGTATATATACAAATACACACATATTTTTATTTTTATGTATACATATGTCTATATGATTCTCTATTTTTTATGCTTTGAATTGGGAGAAAGTAAAACCAAGAGTTTCTACTTAAAAATAAAGAAAATAAAAAATACGTTTTGATATTTTTAACTCTCTTTTTAAGTGCAAAGCTCTGTCTGCATCTAGCTTTTTGGACAAAAGTGCAAGTGGACTTTCACTCTGGGTATTGTTTTCCATACTTAAAAGGAGTAACCAAACCCTAAATTTTTTAAATGTTTGTTATTCAGGTTAGGGTTATACACACACCTTAATCCCTCTTCTTCAAAACAACTGCCCAAATGTTGCTGGTTTTATACACATTGGCTATAAGAAGTGGAGATAAATATGAGAAGAGGCAAAGATCAAATTAGTGAATTTTGTTTTTTATTATCTGAAAACATTTGTCAATGGGAATAACTGGATTAAAACTGGAGTATTCAGGAATTTTGAGTTAATTTGAACATTTTTAAGTATCCAGGGTTTCTGCCTCTGACCAACTGAAGTTATTATAAAGAAGGAAGCAAGCATATAATGTTTGATTTTGAAGTTTCTAAGTAAAAATCTAAATCACTTTCCAAATTCATTTTCAAAAAATTTCTTAGCTGGCAATTACTTAGTTGACATTATCATTTGATCTCATAGTTTGCCATGTATCTTACTGATTCTTACTGCTGATTTCTACCCATTTCATTGTGTTTCTGTTGATTGTATGGTCTAGTCACCTCATGTTGTTTATGAACTATATACACATTTTGGAATTCATATGTATTATGTTTCTAGTGACCTGGTGCACCGATTTGTGTGTGTTTAAAGAAAATTAATTAGAAGGTGGCTGGTAGGGCTGGGCTGGGGGAGATGGGACAGACATGCCCTGGAGCAACCTCCCACAATCTCTCCCTGACATCTGCAGAGTGACTGGGGTCCCTCTGCCAGGTGGGGTCCCTCAACCTGGCTTGCTGGGATTTGGCTGAACCAACTCTCTGACACCTCCAGAGAGGTCCCAGAGTGCAAGGGGGCACTCTGCAAAGTTGCTGTTGTGCTGGGAGTGGAACACAAATGCAAGTGTGCAGTAAACCAGATTCTGGTCTGACAATGCCCCAACAACAACATAACCCATAACGGAAGGTGGAATCGTGTGGTCCCATTGAGCTTCCTCCTCTCTGGTTTTGGGGTGCATCACCCAGAATCACTGCTGCCAAGTCACTGCAGCTTGGCAGCTCCTGCATTGAGCATCTTCCCACTGGTGGTCAGTGCACAACATAGCAATCGGTTGGACACTTAGCATGATAGCCTTTTATATATATAGATTGTCTGATATTGTAATGTTGGCAAATGAATGCTATAACTTTTTACCTTATTTTTTATAGCCCTTTTTGTTTTTATAGAACAATGAAGTTCAAGCTTTAAAAATGAAGTTGCCTTCCTCATATGGTCAAACATATTTCTTCTTTATGATACTCGAGTGCTTCATCTTTTCCCCTATTATTACTTATTTTAAATATTTTTCATATCACTTTGAAATACTTAAATATCAATTCACCATTTGTAAGTGTACAAAGAGTACAACCTAGTGTAAATATTCAGAAACAATTACTATAAAAATGTTGACATAGTTTACATATATTACCTTCATGACTACAAATATTCTTTTCAAGTTTTGAAGTTAAGATGCATCTAAAACAATAGCTCAGTTCCTGTAAAAATAATAGAAATTTTTATGAACATTACATAATAGCCATTAGAAATTTTTTTAATTTCATATATGATCATTTGAAGACCTATAGAAATAAACAATGCAAATGAATTGATTTCTGAAACAACATTTATTGATCTTCTTAATAGTTGCTGATATGCAAGGTTTCCTTCTCAATTTGAAAGGTCAGTTAAAGAAAATAAAATCTAGACACCAAAAACAAGGATCCAAATTTTTATTGAGAACAAGTCAGACACAAAAGTTCTTTAATTACTTTGTTACTGGATGGAAGACTGTGACATATTCTGTGTCTTCAAAATTAGCCTTATATTAAAGATACATTTTAAATTGACAGAGAAATAGAGCTGTTATTAATTCCTATTTGTCCAGCTACTGAAGAAAATTAAAAGTCATGTAAGGAATATCAGCATTCTTACAATAAATCAACTCTCTCTACTCCCAAATAACAGAGTCCTTCTTCCAACCGGGAACCTTGAATCACAAAAGTGGTAAACTTTCCTATATAGTTACCAATTTGTATTCTAATATGATAATATCCCTCATGCAATCTGAGCCAGACCCTTGTCTTTCTTAAGTTACAAAGAATGAAACAGCTACTTATCACTATCATATTATTTATGGCCACCTAACTCTGTAAAATGGTAACAGCACAGGACAATGTAAAGAATAGTTTCAGCCCTGGCCAGGGTGACTCAGTTGGCTAAGCATCATCCCATGCACAAACAGGTTGCTGGTTTGATTCAAGACAGGGCACATGCCCAGGATGTGCTCTATCCCCAGTGGGGGATGTGCAGCAGGCAGCCAATAGATGTCATGCTCTCACATTGATGTTTTTCTCTCTCTCTCTTCCTCTCCCTCCCCCCGACTCCAAAACACATTTTAAAACAAGAATAGTTTCAGTGCTCTTTTGCAACTACATTGCCTCATCCATGAGCATTAAGTATATACTCATTAAATATGCCCTAACCGAGTCTGTTGACAAAATCTTTCATGCTTCATTAATTGTCTGGTAAAAGCACAAAGCTAAAAAAGCCAGGGTCAGTGTGTGTGTGTGTGTGTGTGTGTGTGTGTGTGTGTGTGTGTTGGAGCTGCAAAAGAGCTAGTTGCTTTGCTATATCATAAGACCATAGACCACATCATCATCTCTCTTGGAATAATTTAAAATATAGCCTCTGTTCATGGTAGATTAACAATATGATCCTGATATGTGATGGCTAATGCAACACTGAGCTTTGAAGTTAAATAGAAAATTGTAGGGGTCATCAGTAATCCAGAAAAGAAAATAGGTTGTCCTGATGGACAGGTTTAGAGGACCTAAATAAACAAGAAATTGTTCTAGTGCATTCATTTTCCTAGCTTTATTCTGAAAATTTGCCTTGTCAAGAATGAGAACTACAAGTTCTACTGATGAAGGATGGCAAAACATTTATACATTCAGGATGCAAAGTATCTACTTGAAAGAATAATAGGAACACTGCAATCTTATTTCAAAATTAAGCCTTGTAAACACTAACTACAAATACATGATACTTTAGAAATATATTACATGACCAGGAAGAATTAAAGAAATTGCCATTAGAATGTGTGGGATTTGTTACACATAAATAAGCAATAATCTAAGAAGGGAGTAACCAGAGTTTTTTACAAAATGAAAAAGAAATAAACAAAGGGTTGAATAGTACAATGAAGACTGTATTACATTCAGACAATAAGGACTTGTCTTTTTATTTGCAGGGCCAAAAAGAATCTTTATGGCGACATAAAATACCAGATAATATATATGGAAGCATGAAATAAAAAATTATGAAACTATCTAAGAAATCTATATAAATGTAGACTCTCCTTTTTCATAAATATTCAATACATTATTTGACACATTGGTTTAATGAAACTCCATTTAAGCATCTTGATTTGGGCTGAAGTCCAGCGAATCCTATATTCCCAACAACTATAGAGCTTTCTCACTAAAAATGCATGCTCACACTTTACTTTGAGAATATTCTAAGATAATCATTTTCATTTTCATAGTAACTAGTACAGTTATGACTAGAGATGTCTCAGGTTTCTAAGGAAAGAAAATTATTCTGAGATATAATTAATAAGGAAAAGTGTGATAATAAGAGGGGGTATTTTCTTTAAGAAGTGCTAAGGCCCTCATTTTCATTTTTAATGACTTACACTTTGCTAGACAAGATTTTATTTTGTCACAGAAGTAAAGCTAACCAATATAGTTCTTTAGTCTGTCGCCCACCATTTGTGTATCCCTTCCCTGTACCAACCTCACAATGGATTTACTTCATCTTGAGAGCATAAAGGCAACATTCAGTAAACAGAATTCTCCAGACTCACAATTGCGCAGATCCTCTAGTGAGAAAATTCAGTGAATGGTTAACACTGAGGAAGAAGCCTGTACCAAATTTTCACTCTGCAGATGCCAAGAAAACCACTTAAAATCTCTTTGGAAGGTAATAAGAAAGGTGAAGTCTTTTGAAAAGTTTACTGGCCGAGTCTATAAAATAGTGCTTAAAAGTTAAGAAAGGGTTAATGACAGACTTTCTATCAGTCTCAAGGTATAGGAAGAAAGACCCCAAAAGAAATACAGGAATCATTTCAGATAGGTCTCTTCACTGAATGGCTATATTTCCCAGCGCTGCTCCTTTTAAAGCCAAACCATGCCAGATTCCCCAAGGGTTCCAGCTGTTCTGGGCTTATCACATGTGCTATGTTAGTGAAGTTTTAAAAAGCAAATGTCCTTCAATAAACGTAAAGGTTTTTGATATGAAGTTACTAGACTGAATTGTGTCTAGGGTTATTTCCACATTATTCTACAGTGAAACAGAAAGGAAACTTCCACATCTTTAAGAGGATAACTGACATAAGGCATGCGAAGATGCATCTCAGGAAAAGAGAATTAGCTTTTGCTTTAGTGGGGTTGAGAACTTCTCAGATCCAGTTAGTTTATAAATTCATCATAGACTCAAATTCATCAATTCTTTGCTTGGTATTCCCTTTCCTGATCTTCCGGTAGGATATTGTGTTGTATCGTGAATAAGCATTTCTGGAAATATCACTCTTCTTCCCAAAAGGTAGCTGCTCATCAGGGGTCACAGGCTGGGAGCTGGGGCTGCTCAGTGGGGAATCCTCACTTGGCTCACCTTCCTCTTTGAAGTGAGAACCTTCTATGTTTTTTTTCTTAAATTCTATCACTCGAACTTCATCTTCATCCTCATCTTCATTGTTAGTTTCTTCATCCCAAACCTCTTGCTCCTTGTCATGCAACACATCAACTTGGCCAGCCTTTCGAAATCCCAGCCATTCGATTTCAGTTGCCTGGTAAGCTTTGTTCTCCCTATCCCCAGCTTCTCGTTCTTCTAGACGTTGTTCAGCAATCCTTTCCTTTTGTCTACTTATTTCCTGGTTACTGCTACTCAGAGGAATCTTCTTCCACTGATGCCCTGTAGCAAAATCAATGGATAGCTGAGATGGGCAGAGTTTCCAAAAACTCAGATGTTATTCTCCAAATATTTTTTCTGGACAATCATTTCCCCACATTTGTTTTATGAAATACTATTTTGTGAGTTAGTAATCTATTTTATACAATAAAATAGGTTAGTCCATCAAATTCATTTGGGAAACTTTGCAATAAACACTATTAAGTGAGCTTTCTCATAATTCATCCAAGCCATTTAAATGCTAAAGAATACTGTAAATCTCTAAGAAAGTTAACAGCTCAACCTCTCTTGACTAGGGATTTGTTGTTGTTGTTGTTGTGTGGACTATTGTATTGAGTGAGATTGGTATTCCCTGAGACACACTTCTAAAAACATGTCTAGCTTGTCATGACTGGATATGAACATGTAAAATAAATACTTGGACCTATATCTTACACACACACACACCCCTCAAGGAAAATTAGGGGGGGGAAATATCTCACACGGAAATGTAGATGGCTTTCTTCTGATAGTAAAAACAATGATGGTCCCTGTTTGTCATGCTCAGAGTAGCACATTCAGTATTTGCCACCACACTTCTCAGAGTTGTCCTAAGGTACTAGATACAGAAGTAGGAGCAGAGGACCACAGAGGGTCAGAAATTGTGAACTGAGGTAAACCAAACCTGCAAAGCACACACACTTTAGTCTGATACCTGCTATGAATTTCCAAAGGGCCAAGATTTAAAAATAATGTTGAATCATATTTACATAATGTTAGATTACCTGTTCCTTTAGAGATGTCCTTAGTGACAACTAATTAATTCAAGTTATTTGCTATCATGTCCTGATTTTTAAAAGGCTTAATTCATTGCAAACTTCACTTTACAAACGGATCATATTAGGATATTCTCAACAATAAGTATTGAAAATGCAAAAAGAATTAATTTTAAGAGAGTAGAGGTAGCTCTGTGACCTTTCACCCCAGAGGACTTGTGTAGGAAGCATCTGTCTGAAGTGTGCATGATTCAGAAACATTGACTGTGCTGAGTCCTTGGCAGGCCTGGGTTTGCTATTTCCTTTCAACACTTTAAGAGGCTTGACCTAAAGTGAGAGATGAGGTTTCTCTTTGCCCTTCCCCACCACAATTTTCTATTTTCACTGAAAGAAATAAGTTCTCAAATTCATTTCCATCAAATATTTTTCATTCTCTTTTTATTCTATTGTTTTCCCAACTATAGGAGTCAAATGGTAAACTTACAAAAAGAGATAGAATTGAAGATGGATTTGTCACTTCTATCTCATTGTGCACTCGTATCCAGCCCATGTTCTTTATAAATAAATGTACATGAGAATGTTGAACTTTGTTTTGTTTTATTTTTTCCATAAGAACCAAATAAAATGATCTGTTTGCTCATATTCATGACTTGGGCATTGAGTTGTCATGCATGAAATTGCTTCTTGAATTTGAATTATAGTTTTTCTTCAACAGTTTTAGCATCTTTCTATTTTTTTTAACGCAGGAATATTCTCTTTGGAGACTTTAAAGCTGCTTGTCATTGTGAACATAACAGGCAACAAAACAACAAAAAATACACCTCTAGCTTACAGGAAAAACACATGTTCCACCAAAAACAAAAGGATTCATTCAGTAAAAAAAATTTACCCTTAGACCCATTACTCTGAAAATCCAGACTGCTTTTGTTCTCTATATGTTAAAAATGAGAAATCCTAGAAAACTGTTGTCCCCACTAGAATTTCTGATTAGAAATTTGAAAGGAGGTCTAGATGAAAATTAAGATCCCTGCCTTCAAAGGCTACATTGGAAGCACAAAGATCAGGGCAAAGAGTTTCAGCTCATTTCACAGGGGCTGAAGTGACTAATTATCAGTGACAAGGCCAGAGCTTGACAATGCCTGTTGTTGACTACATTCTGCCTTAAGTGTCTACACAGCGGACCACTGCATGCGGTCAGTGGACAGTCTGAGATGTGTCCAGAAGAAGTGGACAAACCTAGGAAACTGCTAATCATATCCATGTCTTCCCTGGCATCTATTATTTTACTAGTATATGATATTTAAATTCAGCCAATAATCTCATAAATATTTTTCCTGGTAAGGTCCTAACTAAATTGCTTATGTCTAGCAAGCTGAATTCAGTTTTGAGATAAGAGTCTTATGGCTGCAAGAGAGGACACATATAATTCACTAATAGGTTTTTATCCTTCTCTGTATTTGGAAATTACTTGAATATAGGTGTCTCCTTAGGAGAGAAGTCTAAAAGATTGTGTGTCTCTTAATCTCTTGAGTTTATTTAAAATGTAATATAGTCACTTAAAAATCAATGTTTTTTTTTATTTTCACAATGTTTTTATTCTGAAAAACACAATTAAAATTACTACCTGGGAGATTTCCTTGACAAAAATTAGGTAACCGTTTTGTGTTTACCTCAGAGACTTGAATTTTCCTTTATACCAAATAAATTTATAAAATTATTTTAAACTGTATGTCAATGGTACACTTTTAAGATAAACCCTTTTGAAAACATTTATATTTTACAAGTTGTCTCACACAGATTTTGAAATACTAAATAAAATTTTAAAAAACATTGATTTAGTGGACTAACTTATTAAGAGACAGACGTATTGTCAGGTCAAAATGTGCCAATCGGTTACACCAATCCATGTAGTCTGTCTTGAAGCTTCTAGAATACTTTCTAAGGTGCAACCCACAGATAACCAAGACTCTCTTATCTGCTTACAGCAGCTTTGAGCTTTGGAAGGCATTGCCTGGGTTGCTTTTTCAGCACCACACTCAGCATCCCATGCCAAAACTGTCATCCACACCCAGTCAGACAAATTGTGTACAAAATGGAGCAGTGCCTCTTACCTTCTCTGAATGCCATTTCATCAACACTGGTTTCTTGGAGAGAAAGATCTGTGATGGCCTTATGAACAATGAACAGATGCTCTTCTGGTTTTTCTGGGGGTGGGGAGGAGGAAGGCACACTAGATTAATATTTTAATGCTTAAGTAATTCAAGGTTAAATAACAATTGATTTTTTAATTGTGATCACTAAAACAACTATTTCACTCTTCCTCCTCATTTCTTCATTGGTTCCTTTTATTTATAAACATAATGCTAATCTTCCTTTAATATCTAAGGTATATAACCATGATTCAAACACTTTATGATGTATTTAGAAGAAAATCTGGAAATTCTGAATTCTTTTTGCTCAAATAATAATGGGACTGTCCATAAGAATAATAACATTTAACCAAATAGTGAGTAATCCTCACAATAACCCAACAAATGTTGGCACCATTATTCTGTCTTCTAAATACTAAGTCTTCAGGAGGCCAGGAAAGTTGTCCGGGATCACAGAGCTATCAACTAAATAAGCCTGGATTTGACCAGAGGCACAAGTTTAGTCCTAATACTGTGCAGCCCCAGTAGCAAAAGGGGCCACATTTGGACAGGGACAGGGGTGTGAGGGTGTACATCTCATTCATGTCATGGCAATTTATCAAAACAATCCTGGATGAGTTTACAAATCAAATCAAGCAAATTGAAAAAGAAGGAAAATGTTTTACCTTTCAGAGTCTTCTCATCTTTGGGCCAATGGAGCAGCATCTTCCCTTGCAATTTTTCACTTTTCTCCTGATTCTCTTCTGTGGGCAAATCTTCAAGACTCGGTTCCACCCTGTAATAAGGTGGGGTACCATCCACATCACTGACTTTGTCATTGATTTTAGGGATCGGTGGGTTACCGTTTTCAGGTGGTGTATCCCCATTACACTCAACCTGGCTAAATGTCACTGGAACATCTGTCATGATGTACAGTTGAGTCTGATTTAGAGAGAGCTTTGGGAAACTGAGTAAATGGATTCTCAATAATTCTTCTTGCCTTCAAGTCCTATAGTTCCAACTCCGACTTTATTAAAAATAAAACATAACAACAAGCTTCTTTTTCTAAAGGTGCCCAGAGAACACTTAGAATAAAAGCAATAGGATTTGTCCGATTTGCCACCAGCCCATGAGCAAGATTTGGGCCAATAGCCACTTTCTTTGCTGTTTAGCAGTCCCACTAGCAAAATTAATGGTTGCTTTTGATTTACATAAACAAACAATTGGAGGCAATCAGGCTTTTGTGTTGGCTTGCAGAGGGGGACTTTCAGCTTGTCAGCCCCCCTCTGGGAACAGAGATTGTTGTCCCTTTTCATAATGGCCTTTTGTTATTTTCCTTGTAACAGGAGCCACAATTGTCCCACAGCTTTAATCCAGAGAGAATGACCACCTTGAGGCAAATTAGTTCTGTGAAACCAGCTTAACATTTCCAAGCAGATTTTGTTCGGAGTAAAGCCTGAGCTATTTTGTAGGGCACAATGGCATCGCTTATTTATTTAAGAATAAAAACAGCTTATAAAAAACCTGTAAACAGGACAACTTTATTAGAAGCAGCTCTGGCAGCAGATTCCATGCTTTGCTTTCAGGAGCCCAGAGAAGGGACCTAAGAGAAAAGCACAAGCAAAAAAATTCTGCCATCTTGCTAATAGCAAAAATGTTACAATTTTAGAGTAATGCATTTGGTCTATAACTTCTTATTCTCTAGTTTATTTACATCTATTGAAGCCCAACCCACCCTTTAAACCCTTCAGATAACTTCCTCCATGAAGTTTTGTCTCCTCCAATCAGAAGTTGTCTCTATATTTCCTACTGATACAGGCTGATGCTGGTGTTGACATAATAACATTCAAACCAGCAAAGAATTTTTGTGAATTTATTTGAACCAAACTCTTGACAATTACCGGGAAGCAGAATCTCAATGGATAGGGATAATGCTCCAGAGAATGACAGTTTTCCATCTATTTTTATATCTTACAATCAAAAGAGAAGACTTAAGTGGGTTATGTAAAATTCATTGGTGATAGATTAGGAAGGCAGGAAAAAGCAAAGGGGAGGGGAACTCTGGGATTGGATAAAAATCCTTATTTTACATAGGTGGGTGCTGGATAGTAACAGTCAATAATTAACATGATAACAATAACAATGAAGGGATTTGTGGTCATATGTCCTGGCACCCAGGGCATTAGGTTGTCCATGTGTAGTCCTGAAAAAAAGGGAAGTTACAAGTTACCCTGACATTGCAAGGATATGTCATCATAAATGCAAAAAGACAATAAACTCAGTCAAGGTAAAGATTGACCTTGTCAGGGAAGATACCAGCCTAGGAGATGACTACCCACCATAACTGCTTTAGTTAAAGTTTAATTTCAGACCATCCTGTAAGGTTTGAGGCTCAGAAAACTGACCACCAAGGAGTTTTAAAGTAGAGTTTATTCCTCAGTAATGAGCGGGACTCATTACAGAGGTAGAGAAATCAGAATTGAAGGAGTTGGGAAGGAGGATGGACCCAGCCGGGCTGCCACCTGGACATGGAGGATCAGCAGCACGTGGCTGGTCTGGGGGTCTTTTTAAGGGCAGGAACAAGAGAGGGTTGGACCCAGGGCAGAACAGGAAGGGGTGAGCTCCAGGACACTTTGGCAGGCGCTGATTGATGGCTCAATGTCTTGGAGATGTCTCTGTGACAGATGCCAGTAATGTCATAACTCCACCCACCAGTTGGGAGGAGGGAGAACCTTATACATCCTTTATGGTTACTTTAGGTCTCTGAGTTTGCAAGACTGCCATGCAGGCCTTCCTTGAGCTTGTCAGGTTAGCCATGTGGTCCCTGTCATCCACACTGGTAAAATGATATAGCAACAACATTGCCTGCCCTCAAGGGAAACAGGTGATTATGTAAAACATCTGCTATGACCACACCTTCCTTTTCAAAGACGACATCAATTATTTTTCTTTTTTGGATCTCATCTAGTGCAAAATGATCCCAGAGCCTTTGTCCATGATGCCCCCTCCCCCAGCCTTGGAATGCCTTCTTTTCCCCAAGGCCAAACCCCTGTCCTAACCAGGTCCTCAAATATCTTTTCTTTCATGACACTTTCTTTCCCTGACACACAGGATTAAAACAGGATTCCTGCTACACAATATCTTTGTCCTTCAGAGTACCCTGAACATTGTGATTAAACTAGTAATTGCACAATTATCTGTAACATCTCTTTCACCAACGAGAATCTGAGCTTTATCTGAGCAGGAACCATTTTAATTTCCTTACAGGTGTCCTCACCGTGTAGCATCTGCCTTGGACTAGGAAGGTACTCAATAAAATAATATATTTTTGAATATTATACATGAATAAATTTTACTCCCAAGATAATACATTTCAGATCTTTTCTAAAGAGAAGAGCCCTGGCTGGTTTGGCTCAGTAGATAGAGCTTCAGCTTGAGACTGAAGGGTCCTGTGTTTGATCTCAGTCAGGGGCAGGTGTCTAGGTTGGGGGATCAATCCCCAGTAGGGAGCACTGGGGAGGCAGCAGATTGATGACTCTCTGTCAACACTGATATTTCTATCTCTTTCTCTCCTGTTCCCTTCTTCTTTGAAATTACTAAAAATACTAAAAAAAAAAAGAGAGAGAGAGAGAGAGAGAGAGACAGAGAGAGAGAGAGAGAGAGAGAGAGAAGAGAGGTTGAATAGTAATGATAAGTATACCACCTTTAAAATTGTATCTGAGGCTAGGTCCACTAAGATCTATGTCAGGAATGACAAATAACATGGCACTGGGCTCATCCTCTCCCAATGAAAGGAATTTTTAGGGGTGAAATAGGCAGGTTTAGGAAAGGTTAGGAATTAAGAGGTTTATGGAAAAAGAAGAGGGCTACAGAGCTGCAAAGGGTACATTTTCATAAGATAAGGGAGCTGGGAGTAGCAAAAGGAACACATTTACAGAATAAAGGGAAGAAAGCCCCTCATTCAAAGAGGGGGGAAGAAAAGCCAGGGGAGAATGGGAGAACAGTAAGGGAGAAGAAGGAGGGAACCTTACTGACCTGAGGCTTGAGGTCAGGAGCTGCTATAGTGACCGAATCAAAGGGGAATAGTGGCCAACCAGAGGGGAAACTGCAGCCTTTATAAATCATGGGAAGGGGGACTCGGTGGGACTTTTTTCCCCTCCCCACATGAGAGTCTGTGTTTGTTTCTCAATAATTTCCATCTTTTGCTATACTGTCTTTCATATGTGGTTTCATTCTTCGACTCCACTGGACAAAGAACCTGGGAACCAGCCTGCCCAAGGGAATACTATGTTCCAGTCCCATTTTCCTGTATCACCAAGTACATGGAAGACATCTCTACAGATCCTGGAATTTTCTTCCTCTCTTCATCCGCTCTTCTCTACTCAATACACTAATTAATTGTTTGTGTAGGAGAGGAAAATACTTTTCACTCTTCTGAGTTATTGGCTGAGGCCTTGCAGTAAAAACAGATCAGAGTAAAGGGAACAGATGTTTATTAACAAGTGTATCTCAGGTATATGTAGGGGATACCCAGGGAAACTGAGTAATTCCCTGAGATGGCCCAAGTTACTTAAATATAGATTTAAATTAAAGGCAAAGAAAAGTAAAGGGATGGGGGCCTTATGAGGGATTACCAGTAAATGAGGGCAAGGTTTGTCCTGCAATAGTTATGCCTTCTCCATTGATGAGATTCCCTTCTGGTTTTGAGTCATTCTTCTTTCTCTAGTACAAAGGGGGAGACACACAAAGATTTTCTTTATGAATGTCCACCCTCCACCCAAAAAAGGGGGGAATGTTCCTATATCCTCTGCTTTATTTTCAGAGATCCTCCAATGCCTGCTGTTTCTGAAAATAATTGGCTCACAGTAATTCTTAGGCCAAAAAGACATATTTTGGGGTGGCATAGTTTGTTATCCTTCATTTGTTTGATCTTATTTTGTTTGACTAACACTTATATAGCACTTACTATATGCCAGGCACTATTCAAATTGCTTCACAAATAGTACACAGTTGATCTGCATAAAAGCCCTGTATAGTTGGTACTGTTATTATCCCCTTTCAACTGACTAGAAAAGTGAAGCCCAGAGAGATTGGGGAACTTGTTCAAGGTCACACAGCCAGCAAGCCTACCAATAAGACTTTGCAGCATAGATCAAGCCGATTGCCATCCCTGGCCTGAGTGCTACTGTCTCCTTCAGCCCTAAGTTCCACTGGGCTCCAGCTTGATGAATGAGCAACCTTGCAGCAAGATGTACAAGAAGTAGTTGTAGTAGTTGTAGCCAGGAAAGGGCAGCGGAGTGCCTGAGGTGGACTAGCCCTCCCTAAGGTGGACACCCCAGCTGCTGAGGACAGTGTTGGGAGGCCAGGGTGTTTCTGTCACCAGGAATAGCAGGGTTAATCACTTGATTAAAAGATAAGAATCTAGAGTTTGAGGGCTAGGTCAGTACACCCCACTAACTTGGAGTGAAAACAGCCCAGGATCTATGGCAAAAAAAGAAATATTGCATGAAATTTGATGGGAAAAGACAAAAACTAACACCAATCTAGGAACACATGGGGACATACTAGATTGTGAGATCCTTAAGACCAGAAAGTGACACTATTCTATGGAATGCCTTCAATAAACATACAAACACAGAAATGCTCACATGATCCTTGAAGACCTAGTATCTTCAGTCACTCTCCATTCCCTTGAGACTGCCACGCTCCTTAATCCAGGGACACAGCAGAGAGCAGAAAGTTGAGTTTATCTTTCCTACTGCTAGATTTCTATGATCTTATAGCAACCTGCAATTCATACCGTTGGCTTATGGAAGTTTTTATGGAAGTGTAATTTTTTTAAATATTTTCTTTTTCATGCCATGCTTTGACATATTTTTCCTGGCATTAGATTTCAGATTTTAAAAGATAAAGATAAATGATCCAGA